GGGGTTAATGGCGACCTCCTCCAGTCCTGCGTGAGCTCTGGCGGCTCTGTGGCGGGGTTAATGGCGACCTCCTCCAGTCCTGCGTGAGCTCTGGCGGCTCTGTGGCGGGGTTAATGGCGACCTCCTCCAGTCCTGTGTGAGTTCTGGCGGCTCTGTGGAAGGGTTAACGGCGACCCCCTCCAGTCCTGTGTGAGCTCCGGCGGCTCTGTGGCGGGGTTAATGGCGACCTCCTCCAGTCCTCTGTGAGCTCCGGCGGCTCTGTGGAGGGGTTAATGACGACCTCCTCCAGTCCTGCGTGAGCTCTGGCGGCTCTGTGGTGGGGTTAACGGCGACCTCCTCCAGTCCTGCGTGAGCTCCGGCGGCTCTGTGGCGGGGTTAATGGCGACCTCCTCCAGTCCTGTGTGAGCTCTGGCGGCTCTGTGGTGGGGTTAACGGCGACCTCCTTCAGTCCTGTGTGAGCTCCGGCGGCTCTGTGGTGCGGTTAATGGCGACCTCCTCCAGTCCTGCGTGAGCTCCGGCGGCTCTGTGGTGGGGTTAATGGCGACCTCCTCCACGAGGGCTCATGGCACACCCAGGTCTGCTGCACCCAGTGCCCCTGCCCCTGCAGCAGGCCGCTGCTGACCCGGAGCTCCGCAGGAGATGCTCAAACACAGTTCTGGCTCCGTCTCTGTGGGGTCTCTGGGTCCTGGTGCACACAAGGTTTGTTTGAGCCTTCCGAGGATCTCTGGCGGGATGGGGTTTGATTCTAAATGCACATTTGCCCCTCCTACCGTCTTGCTGGGGCTTCTCCTTTGCCCTTGGAAGTGGGGTATCTTTTTTTGGTGGGATCCAGCCTTCTGCTGTGGACGGTTGTGCGGCAGCGAGCTGTAATTTTGGAGTTCTCGCAGGAGACGATGAGCGCACGTCCTTCTGCTCCGCCATCTTGGGGAAGGAAGATGGCGAGTTCTGAGAAAGCACTGGAGAAGGGAGAGGCGCCCACTCCAGCATTCTTGCCTTGAGAACCCGAGGAACAGCATGAAAGGCCGTAACACAGCGGTGCTGTTGTTTTAGTTGCTGGTTGCGTCCGATTCCCGTGTCCATCTCTCCATGTGGACTGAGGCCCGCCAGGCTCCTCTGTCCATGGGCTTCTCCAGGCAAGAACACTGGCGTGGGTGCCATTCCCTTCCCCAGGGGAGCTTCCCGGCCGAGACTGAGCCTGCATTTCCTGCACTTGAGGGCCACGCTTGACCGCCGAGCCTCTCGGGAAGCCCTGAAGCAACACGCGCACTGCTGAAAGCCGGCAGTCTGCAGCCCCGCGGAGCGGGAGCCGTCGGGCTCAGGAGAGACTTGAGGAGGGCAGAGCTAGGACCTGCGCTGCTGACACACAGGGAGCACCATCCCCGATGCACACAGCCTGTAACAAACATGTTACGTGCTTCTTGGCCCTTCAGCCGCAGCCCCAGGGGAAGGTCCCGACAGGGTGCTTCCTGCAAAGGCTAAACGTGGTGCCTTCTTTTATCTCTGTTAGCCTCGTAGAAACCCCGCCTCTGTCGTTACTTGGATTAATGTTTAGCAATATTTGGTAGGTATATATAGACATTTATGGTTTTTATCTTTTTTTGAATTTTCTAATGGATATGACAAAGGATAGGGTGGTGAGTGGGATAATTTATGGATAAATTCAAGGAGTTTAGAATCATAGGATTTTTGCAGCTTAGGACACAAGTGGATAACAGATAAAGGACCTACTGAAAATAACCACTGTGTGTGTGTGTGTCACAAGGTTTAGGTACCAGTGGGAACTTCAGCTTTTTCCACAATAGAGCTCCCTCAGGGCTTGGGACTGACCTGGCAGTTTGGAGGAAAGAAATAAAAGCATGCTCTTTGTACTTCCCTCTTCCCTGCCACAGCTACGTCCCGTGGAACCTCCATGAGCCGCAGAGAGGCACATTCGACTTCTCCAGGAACTTGGACCTGGAGTAGGTTCTGGGACTCGGCCGGGCGGGGCCGGGGGCCTGAGGGGCGGGGACCCACGGGGCATCCTGAGCAGAGGGGTCCGCGGGGGAAGCCTGTGCCGGGCCCCACGCCCTCCGTCGTGACCCCGCCACCCCCCGGCCGGGCCTGCCCCCCTTAGCCCGGCCCGAGGCCCCTCCCCAGGTGCCCGGCTCTGCAGGGTGGTCCCCGCTGGGCTGGAGGCCTCGGGTCAGGCCCTTGGTCAGGACTCCATGCCCCGGGCGAGGCTCTTTCTTCTCCTCGTGCCCCAGAGAGGCCGCGCTGATGTCCCAGGCTGGGGGCTCGGTGGTGACTCCGGGGGGGGGTGTCCTGCCCTCAGCGTCCCCAGCCCCCTGGGGAGGGCCGGGCCACTGAGGGGAGGGGACGCTGAGCTCCGAGCCCTGAGAGTGGGTGACCCCAACCCCCAGGGCCTTCATCCTACTGGCGGAGGAGGTGGGGCTGTGGGTGATCCTGCGTCCAGGCCCCTACATCTGCAGCGAGATGGACCTCGGGGGCCTGCCCAGGTGAGCGGGGCCGGCCTGGAGCTGTGGCCTTAGTGGAGTTCTGCTGACCCTTTGGTCCAGTCCGAGGACAATGGCGCCTGTTTTCGGTCTCATTGTCGTCACAGCAACGCGGGTGGTGATGCTCTTTTGTTATACCTGGAGCTGGCGGGATCCTCGTGGGTCCACACTTCCCCTGGTGGACAGTCTGCCTCCTGGTCAGTGGAGGCTTTGCCCTCTGGGACAGGTGGGTCTGCAGTCTGGCTCAGGAGTGGGACCCACGCCCTGCAGGTGACCTGGGACCACTTCGTTCCTGCTGTCAACTCCTCTCTGTCAGACTCCTCAGCCTCAGAGGAGAGCTCGCTCTGTCCCTAAGCCTATGCTCTGCTCACAGCACAGGCTTTTCATGAATTGACAAAGAAGGCAGGAGAGTGTTCACAGATGCTCACAACGCCTGTCCTTAGGACATGGGTGTGTGGCCCCTCCTGAATGGGCCCTGGACGTGAGGGTGGACCTGGGACCCCCTCCTGCCTGCTGAGCCTGCCCCCCCACACCCCAGCTGGTTACTGCAGGACCCCACGTCGCAGCTGAGGACCACCAACCGCAGCTTTGTGAACGCCGTGAACAAGTACTTCGACCATCTGATCCCTAGGGTGGCTCCGCTCCAGGTGAAGGCAGATGGCTGCGTCCCGTGATCCTCTGCCGCAGGACCACGGCTGTCCTGGCTAGTGTCCGCAGAGAAGGGAGCTGACAACCCGCAGTGGGAACTCCAGACTCCCGCCCCGCCGTGCCCTTTCTAGGGCTTCGGGGGGGTGGAGGTGGCGTGCCAGTGTCCCGCCTTGTATTCACAGAACTGCCCACGAGGGCAGGAACTCCAGACCCCCGCCCCGCAGCGCCTTTTCTAGGGCTTCTAGGCAGGGGAGGAAGGGGGGGGGGGCGAGCCAGCATCCCGGCTCCAGCTCAGGAGTTGAGCACATGCCCCTCATAGGGGTGGCTGGGGGTCACCCGGCAGAGTTGCAGGGCTGGAGCGGGGCGGCCACCACTCTGCCCGCGGTGGGCTGGGCTTCAGGGAGCAGAGGCTCAGAGTGGACGGCGGTGAGACCACCTTCAACCTTGAAGACGGTGTGCTCGCACGTCCGGGCCCCGTCGATGGCTCAGCAGCTGACTGGGAGCTCTGAGGAGTGGGTGCAAGGGAGAAACAGACTGCCGAGAGGGCGGCCGGGCCGCTCAGGGGCTGGGGCCCCTGGCCTGGGGGATCGGGGCTTGCGGGTGGAGCCAGTGCCCACTCCGGCTCTCTCCGGGTGGTTTCCATGGTGATGGGAGTCAGAGGGTCTGGCGGGGGAGGATGGGGCGCAGGAGGGGAGGGGCCAGCGCGGAGCCCCGCCTCCTGAGCAGGTGGACCACGGAGGCGACCCCCGAGACAGGGGACGCTGGCGGGCCGCGGTTTGGGGCCGGTGACTGAGTGGCTCCCGGACCGGGCTCGGGGGGCTCACCAGCCGGCCTGCCGTCCCGTCCTAGTACCACAGGGGAGGCCCCATCATCGCGGTGCAGGTGGAGAACGAGTATGGCTCCTTCTACAAGGACATGGCCTACATGCCCTACCTGCTGCAGGTGAGCCGTCTGCCGTCCTCCGGTCCGGGCGACCACCGTCCGGGCCCCAGGGCCGCGGTCCAGCGTCTGTGAATCCGCACGTGTGTGACTGCACGCGATCAGGGAGGCCGGGGAGGCCGGGGCGGCACTGGCGTGGGGTGAATGTGCGGCTCCTTGCCCGCTGTCTCTGGCTCACGGTTCCTGTCGGAGCTGGGGGGGGGGGGGGGGAGCGTTGGGGGGCACCCTGTCTTTCGCTGTCTTTGCCGTCTAGGGGGCATCTCAGGTCGGGGGTCAACCGCGGTCCTGGTGCTCTTCCCCGGGGTGAGGCCCCGGGCCCCCAGCCTGCAGGAAGCAACCAGGGCGTGAGTGGAAGGCGGGGTTCCCACGTGTCTTGCCCACCTCAGGCATGCGCAGTGGGGGAGCCCCTGCGGCGGATGTCACCCCCGGCCCCCCACTTCCGTCTCATTCAGTGAGATTCTGATTCCTGGATCTGTAGACTGTGCTGGTCTACTCGCTGTGGGCCCCAGGCTGGCTCAGTGAGCCCAGGACGCACAGACGGGGTCCTCGGCTGGGGTGTCTGTCTGCTCCGTGTTCCCTGAGTGCGCGTGGTTTCCAGATGGGACCCCCCCCACCCCACCTCCCCGGGTGGGCGTCCCTCAGTCCAGACAGGACCTGGGTTTTCGACTCTCACCTCTCTCGGGCCCCACAGCCCCGCCCTTCCCAAGGCTCCCCTGTCCCTCTGTCAGTCTACCTGGGTCTGCACGTCTAGTGATCGCTCACTTCCTGTCTGCCCCTCCCACTGTCAGCCACCTGTCCATCATCTGTCTGTGTATCTGTCGTCTTTCTACCTGTATGTCAGTTATCTATAAATCTATCACTTACCTCTTATCTATCTACCTGTATATCATCTGTCTATACATCTATCATTTATCTATTATCTATCAGTCCATCTATGTATCTCTCATCCATGTATCTATCTCTCCACATCTCTCTGATTCTCCCCAGATGTAGGAACCCCCATTCCCTGGTGGACTCAGCTCTGACCTCTTCATTTGAGCCACAGCTACAGGGTAGCGGGGCTCACCCCCTCCGTGTGCCCACCCCTGGGAAGACCGCAGACTGGCCAGAGCACCCAGGCCCCAGCTGCGGGGCCGTCCTGGGCAGAATGTTGACGCGGGTCTTCCTGTCTAGCACCCATGCTGTTGTCTGAGCCCTGGCATATTTGTCTCCTACTTTCCTTGTATTTCCCTCTTTCAAGGAAAACAAGGGGGTGATTTCATCCTGTCCAACTCTCTCCACAGGCCCTGCTGCAGAGGGGCATTGGAGGGCTGCTCCTGACCGCAGACAGCACAGAGGAAGTGACGAGAGGACACACAAAGGGAGGTAGGAACTCAGACTTGTTTTAGGGGAGAGGGTAGGCTGCGGCAGGACCTCTGACTCCTGGAGGAGCCTCAGCAGGGCCAAGTGCACACCACACCTGACCCCAAGGGCCCGGACGTCGGGCCGCGGGTGATGTCCCCTGGTGAGGACTCGGGGTCAGGGGTGGACCCAGGCGTGATGTCCCCTGGTGAGGACTCGGGGTCAGGGGTGGACCCGGCTGTGATGTCGCCCTGGAGAGGACTCAGGGTCAGGGGTGGACCCGGGTGTGATGTCATCTGGAGAGGACTCAGGGTCAGGGCTGGACCCGGGCGTGATGTCCCCTGGTGAGGACTCAGGGTCAGGGGTGGACCCGGGCGTGATGTCCCCTGGTGAGGACTCGGGGTCAGGGGTGGACCTGGGTGTGATGTCGCCCTGGAGAGGACTCAGGGTCAGGGGTGGACCCAGGTGTGATGTCATCTGGAGAAGACTCAGGGTCAGGGCTGGACCCGGGCGTGATGTCCCCTGGTGAGGACTCGGGGTCAGGGGTGGACCCGGGCGTGATGTCCCCTGGTGAGGACTCGGGGTCAGGGGTGGACCCGGGTGTGATGTCACCCTGGAGAGGACTCAGGGTCAGGGGTGGACCTGGGTGTGATGTCATCTGGAGAGGACTCAGGGTCAGGGCTGGACCCGGGCATGATGTCCCCTGGTGAGGACTCAGGGTCAGACGTGGACTCAGGCGTGATGTCATCTGGTGAGGACTCGGGGTCAGGGCTGGACCCAGGCGTGATGTCACCCTGGTGAGGACTTGGGTTCGGGGGTGGCGTGCCCACGGGCAGGCTCTCGGGTCCCCACTCCTGACATCTCCCCGGAGCCTCCTCCTCACACCTTTCCCTCTTTCCCAGTTTTTCTGTGGTTTAGAGTCTGGGCTGGAGCTGGCCAGAGTCAAGCTTCCCCGGGCCTGGGAGCTGTGTGGCGGCAGGAGGCAGTGCTGAGTGGGGCCCGGCCTCCAGAGCCAGCTGGGACCCCGGCTGCAGTCACTGCAGGCACTGCATATGCCCCTGGGCAGCAGGTGGCGGGGGGATGTCACCCAGCAGTGGAGGACAGAACTGAAAGGCCCCGGCCACGGGGGCAGTGACCAGGACAGCAGGTGTCCAGGGAACACCTGTCACGTCATCTGCCCCTTCTTGGTGGCATGTCGCTCTGTTACTGCTGACTGTGGACCCTGTGCTGACCGTGGGCCCTATGCTGACCATGGACGCTGTGCTGACCGTGGATGCTGTGCTGACTGTGGAGTGTGCTGACCCTGGAGTGTGCTGACCGTGGAGTGTGCTGACCGTGGACGCTGTGCTGACCGTGGAGTGTGCTGACTGTGGACGCTGTGCTGACCGTGGAGTGTCCTGACCATGGACGCTGTGCTGACTGTGGACCCTGTGCTGACCGTGGACCCTGTGCTGACCGTGGAGTGTGCTGACCGTGGACGCTGTGCTGACTGTGGACGCTGTGCTGACCATGGAGTGTGCTGACTGTGGATCCTGTGCTGACCGTGGACCCTGTGCTGACCATGGATGCTGTGCTGACCGTGGACGCTGTGCTGACCATGGACCCTGTGCTGACCGTGGAGTGTGCTGACTGTGGACACTGTGCTCACCGTGGAGTGTGCTGACCGTGGATGCTGTGCTGACTGTGGAGTGTGCTGACCGTGGATGCTGTGCTGACCGTGGAATGTGCTGACCGTGGACGCTGTGCTGACCGTGGACCCTGTGCTGACCGTGGACCCTGTGCTGACTGTGGAGTGTGCTGACCATGGACCCTGTGCTGACTGTGGAGTGTGCTGACCGTGGAGTGTGCTGACTGTGGACACTGTGCTGACAATGGACCCTGTGCTGACCGTGGACCCTGTGCTGACCGTGGATGCTGTGCTGACCATGGACCCTGTGCTGACTGTGGAGTGTGCTGACCATGGACCCTGTGCTGACTGTGGAGTGTGCTGACCGTGGAGTGTGCTGACTGTGGACGCTGTGCTGACCGTGGACCCTGTGCTGACCGTGGACCCTGTGCTGAACGTGGATCCTGTGCTGACCGTGGACCCTGTACTGACCGTGGACACTGTGCTCACCAGGGTCCGGGGGTCCCATGTCCACATGAGTCACGCGACCTTGGTCTAATCCACTTCTCTGCACACAGCAGGGATGCTTTGAACCGCCCTTCTTCCCTGACATTGTCCCTGCAGTGCCGGGAACGTGAGGGCGTGAGTGGGGGCCCTTCCCACCAGCAGAGGGAGGAGCCACTGCTGCCCCTTCCTCCGAGGGTGCCCTCCACCCCCGTCAGGGGTGGCGAGCCCCAGCAGTGCCCCTGTCCTGTCTGTCTCTGCAGTGCTGGCCACCATCAACATGAAGGGGTTCAAGGTGGACTCGTTCAAGCATCTGTACAAGCTGCAGGTAGGTGTCGGCCGCGGGCCTGGGCAGAGCTGCTCCAGGACAGGCCTTGGGCCCAGCTTCGGGACCGCTGCCACTTGTATCGGGCAGTGCGGGCAGCGCCTCCCAGGAGGCCGGGAGGGACAGCGGTGAACATGGATGCTGGGTGCGGGGCCGTGGCCGAGAACTCTCCCCAGAGATACACTGGGCAGCTCTCCTCCTTGGCCCCGTGAGCCACGACGAGGACGGACGCGGGTGCCAGTCGGCGCCCTCTCTCCTGGCTCAGCGGGGCCGGGTGCTCGGGATCAGCTCTGCTTCGCAAGAACTCTGCAGGCTCCCTGTGGCTCCAGGCCCACGCTGCCCGTGCCCCCTTCCAGGTGCAAACGCCCCTTCCCCTCGGCCTCCTCCACAGTCTTTTCTTTTTTTTTTTTTTAAGATTTTTTTTTTAATATCTTAAGATGTTAAGATGTCTTTTTTTTTTTAAGATCTTTTTTTTAAGATGTTTTGATGTGGACCGTTTCTAAAGGCTTTATTGAATTTGTCAAAACATTGCTTCTGTTCTCTGTTTCAGTTTTTTGGCCAGAGACATGTGGCCCCTAGTTCCCTGACCAGGGATCCAACCTACACCCTGTGCGTCAGGAAGCCGAGCGTTGACCCCTGGCTCGCCAGGGGAGTCCCCTCAGTTTCAGTCCCCTGTGATCACTGGTTTCTGCGAGTTTCCGGCCTTGTTGGAAGCAGGGAGCCGTGCCAGGAGCAGTGTCGCAGCTGCGTCTCCCTTTGCGTCTCCCTTGCTGTTGTTTTCCTCTCTTTCCCCTAAAAGCAGTTTTATTGAAGAACATTTAAACATCATTGAATTCACCCATTGAAAATGTGCGATTAGCAGGTCTCTTTGCAACCGTCATCTGTCTAGAAGGCCTCCTGCTGCAGTTAGCTCCCCTCCCTGCTCCCATCCCAGGGAGCTGTGAATTGGCCTTTTCTGAATGGCAGTCCACTCCAGTACTCTTGCCTGGAGAATCCCATGGAGGGAGGAGCCTGGGAGGCTACAGTCCACGGGGTCACGAAGAGTCGGACACGACTGAGCTAGTTCACTTCACTTCATCAAAATGGGGCCTTCAGTGTCCATTCTGTCGTGCTGCCTGGCGACTCTGAGGCCCACGTGTTGCGCCTCGATCGGCGCCGCGTCCCTCCTGATAGCGGAGCTCAGGGCCCGGCTCCCCGCCTCGTCGTTGCTGACACAGGCCGCTTGCGCTTTGAATGCTGACCGACATTTGCATTCTCCGGCTGAATCCCTCTTGGTTGTGGAGTAGTCCTATTTTATACACCGCTGTTTTCAACTCATTCAGATTTTGTTGAGGACTTTTGCTTCTGTGTTTGTGAGGGGTGCTGATGCTTGGGTTTCTTTTCTTGAAATGCCTTTATTTGATTTTGGAACTAGGGTCATGCTGACCTCATAAAATGCCCTCCTTTTCTATCTTCTGGAAGAGATTGTGTAGAAATGTTAGTATGTCTTACTCACCGTTTGGTAAAATTCACCATTGAGAGCATCTGGACTTGAAATTTTCTTTTTTAGAAGATTTTTTATTAGAAATTTAATTTTTCTAATGGATACAGCATAGTTCAGGTTACTGCTTCTTAAGTGAGTTTTGGTAGCTTGTGTCTTTCAAGGATTCATTCTATCCTTTTTCACCTATGCTTTGAATTCATGACCGTAGAGTGTTTGTAATGATCCATTAATATCCTTTGAATGTCTTTGTTGTAAGTAATGATGACCTTTCTTTCACTCCTGTTATTGACAATTTCATGTATTCTTCTTTTTAAAAAAAATCTTGGTCAGTATGACTTGAAGCTTATCACTTTTGTTGATATTTTCAGAGAACTAGATTTTGGCTTTTTTCTCTATTATGTTTTTGTTTTCTATGTATTTCTAGTGTAATCTCTAACATTTTCTACCTTATGCTTCCTTATGCATAGAATTTGCTCTACTTTTACTAGTTTTTTTTTTTTCTGGTTGAAGCTTAGGTTACTGACTTGAGACTTGGTGTTTTTCTAATACAAGCATTTAGTGTTATGAATTTTCCTGTGTACACTGGTTTTGCTCCATCCCACCAATTTTGGAATGCTGTATTTTTTTTCACTTTTGCTGTATTTTGCTGTATTTTTCAAAATTTTCAAGTGATGTTTTTAAAATGTTCAAAGCATTAAATTTTCATTGAATTTAATTATTAAATTTTCATTTCTATATTCCATGTATCCGTTGGAAGCATGTTGTTTAATTTCTCAGTGTTTGGGGATTTTCTAGATATCATTCTGTTAGTGATTTCTGTTTTAATAGTGTGAAAATCCAAGAACTTACCTGTTGTGATCTCTGTTCTTTTATATCTGCTACAGTTTGCTTTATGGCTTATGATGCGGTTGTTCTTGGTGCGTGGTCTGTGAGCACTGTGCAAGAGTGGTGCTCTGGGTTTGTTTGTGCGTTTCCATTAGGTCGGGCTGGCGGGTGTTACTCTCAGGTGTCTCTGTCGCTGCTGATGATCAGAGCTCAGCCCACCAATGAAGAGAAGGGTGCTGATGTCTCTGAACTCGTTTGTGTTCTGTGCTGCTCTCAGCCTGTCCACAGCCAGTCCACAGGTCCCCGCGGTCCTTACTGTGAGTGCAGGATGCCCTTGGCAATAGCCATCAGGTTATTATTCCCTTTGTTTTACTCTTTGGTTTATTTTTCTGATTTCTTGAGATGGATAATTAGCCCCCACGCTCGGTTTTATGTTTCTCTTTGTCCCTTTGTCTTAATACACGTGGGACGTGTTTTTGGGCCTGTGGGGAACAGGAGCACCTGCTGTGGGTGGTCGCAGAGGTGCGCTGGGTGAGGGGCACGGAACGTCCGCGCCCAGCAGGGACGAGTGGAGAGAGGGAGGTCCTCAAATGCTGACTTGTCATCTTCAGGTCTTCTGATCTCCCTTCTTCCTGGCGTCAGACTCAGCATTTGATTTGGTTTGTTCCTAGAGCCACAAGCCCATTTTGATCATGGAATTCTGGGTCGGCTGGTTTGATACGTGGGGAAGCGATCACAAGGTGATGGGTGTGAATGGTGAGTCTGCCGCGGTGTCTGCCCCGTGAGCGTCACTCACCCTGCCCTGCTCCTCGGCCAGCGGTCCGACCCGCACCCCCTGTGGAGGGGCCGCGGCCACGCCCGAGGGTGGGGGGCCTGAGCCACTGGCTCTGCGCCCTGGAGGCTCGCCGCTCCGTGGACGGACAGGTGGTCGGGTAAGCACTCAGTGAAGAGTCCCCGACCCCTGACCAAGCCGCTGCGGGGACAGAAGAGGCAGGGCCGGCTGCTGGAGGCTCCCACAGTCTCTGAGGGCGGGATGCCTCTCCTGAACGTCACAGTGGCTTCTGCAGCTGAGGGGCCGGGAGGTGAGAGTGACTGCAGATCCTGGAGCCGAAGCAGCAAGGATCACAGGCCCGGTTCTGTGGCCGCAGTGAGGTGGCCCCCGTAACCGCCTCTCCCCGGGGCGCTGTTGTCAGGGCGAAGTGTGGCGATCCGGGTAAACCGCCCAGAGCAGTGCCTGGAGGAGGTTGTTAAGAGAAGTGTTTTTCTACTAACGATATTTACAAAAGCAAGCTCACTTGTACAGGAAATAAAGACAACAATTGAAAGATAGTGGGTAGCTGAGAAAAACCTGCTTTGAACTGCAAAATAGGGAGCAAACAAAAATAACTTCAGACTGCCACCAGTGAACAACAGGTTTCTGACCACGTGTCTGTCAGGCGCTGTGCGTGTTCCTTCCCTATCAGTTAATTCTCATCCGTGTGTGATGTGGGAGGGAGGAGGACCTTTGTTCAACAGACAGGGGAGCAGAGGCTCTGAGAGGGCAAGTGGGCTGAGCGCGGTCAGATGGAGGGTGAGGGGTCAGCCAGCGCTGAGCCCGCGCCTGTGAGCCTTCCTGCCCTGCAGGGCCAGCGTGGCCTCGGGGCACGAAGGAGAAGGCAGTGGTCACTGGCCCCAGAGATACTACCCGAGCAGGCAGTTCACAAGAACAGACGAATTATTTGTATAATTTCAAAAAATTTATTGAGCACGAGATCCTTAAGTGATGCAGAGGCTCTCAGGCTGCTATTTAATAGATGTAGCTCAGAGTGAAATTCTCTGGGAGAAGTAACTTTTGAAAAGGCTCTTAGTATTGGAGAAGGGAGTGGCAAGCCACTCCAGTTTTCTTGCCTGGATCATTGCATGGACAGGGGAGACTGGGGGGCTACAGTCCATGGGATTGCAGAGAGTCGGACACAACTGAGCGACTAACACTTGCTTAGTTTGGCCAAGCTTAGTTTTCTAGGGTGGCTGTGGTCGATTCCACCTGCTGTCTGGTTAGATGCTCTGTGGACGCTGAGGGCCCATTGGGCAGCGCCGGAAAGAACCGGCTTTCCCAGAGACCTCTGTCTTCTCTGAAGTTTTAGCCTTCACTATTTCTCATCTTCCTCTGCAGAGGTTGAAAAGAGTGTGTCTGAATTTATCCGATTTGGGATCTCCTTCAATGTGTACATGTTCCACGGGGGGACCAACTTTGGTTTCATGAACGGGGCCACGAGTTTTGAGAAGCACAGAGGTGTTACCACGAGCTACGGCAAGTGTTCTCTGGGAGGGGCCCCCCGAGCCTGGGGGCCCTGCGGCTTGACCGGGGAGGCCCCTCAAGCATCATGGGGTTCTTGGCCCCTAATCTATGTTGAGCACCGAGAATTCCCTCATCTCTGTGTCTCCTTCCCTCTGACATGCTCACAGTGCAGAGAGCAGGCTGACCTCACCGCATAGGGGCCTCCGTGACCTCTCACTCTGCCCTGCCCATCCTGATCGTGGGCCCCTGACCTGGGCTCCCCAGTAGAACCTGGGGTGGTGCCTTGTGGGCCCTGGAGACCTCCTGGGTGGCTAGGCTGGGGGCAGATGAGTGTCCTCTGCGAAAGGAAGCAGGACAGGCCAGGTGGCCGTGGCCTCGGACATGGGCATGGCTGTGGGGATGGCCAGAGAGGTCTGGGCCGGGGAGTCGGTTCCCACACTCTTTGGGGGCCCTGCCCGGAGAAGGCGGCCGGCGGGGAGCCTGTCCGGAGAAGGCGGCTGGTGTCTTGCAGACTACGACGCGGTGCTGACAGAGGCTGGGGACTACACCACCAAGTACTTCGCGCTCCGGAACCTCTTTGAATCCATCCTGGGTACTCAGCTGCCGTTTTGTTGGGGGGCTGGGCCTCCTCGGGAAGGTGTGGGAGGGGGTAGGAGAGGGAAGGGCTCCCCATGGGCAGAAACTTAAAAGGCAGTGAGGGCAGGGGCCGCCTTAGTTCAAACCCTGGTTTTCCCACCTGAGAACCACGTTGTTTTTAAGCCCTCTGAGCGACAACATGTTCTCTAAATGTGAAGAGAGTGGTGCTTGCCTGCTGGAAGTTGGAGTGACTGTTGACAAAGCTCTCTGCATGGAGACGCCCTCACGCGCTCCTGAGAGTCACCCTGTGAACTGTATCTGCATGGAGACGCCCTCACGCGCTCCTGAGAGTCACCCTGTGAACTGTATCTGTGGAGATTACGTTAGGGAAGCGCCTCCCACATGCCAGGGAGCCAGGCAGCAGCAGGGCAGGCAGAGACCTCCCGCCCTGAGCTCCCCGGGGGTCTGGTCCTCCAGCATCTCACGGCTGGAGGAACGCCACTAGGCTGGGACCCCATCTCCTGCGGCCCCGGGAGGGCGGGGCGGCGTGGGGGAGGAGGGGACACTTCCTGCTGCCCGTTTGCTTTGCAGTCAGGCCCCTGCCCCCTCTTCCGAGTCCCACTCCCAAGACGGTGTACCCCTCCTTGAAGCTATCTCACTACCTGCCACTGTGGGAGGCCCTGCCTTACCTGCAGAGGGTGAGCACCCCCTGGGCTCCGGGGACCTGGGGTGGCTGCTGGGGACACGGGGGCCGAGGCCACCCTGAGGGAGGCCCTCGGGGCTTTCTGTGGGAGCGGGGGCGTGCTCCTATGTTTTGTCCATGTTTGGGACCAGCAGGCGGAGCCGGGGTGCCTCCTGGGAGGACTGTGAACGGGTGTGAGCTGAAGAGTGGGGGGCCTGGGGGGGAATGGGGCCGCAGAGACGCCTGCTCACAGGCCCCGTCCTGAGCGTGGCCGAGCAGCCCGTGCAGCTGGGCTCCGCGTCCTCTCCGGCACCGCCTCATCCGACGGCGGGGCCCCCCTGCTCCCCCCGAGACTAGGGTCCGTGTCCCCACAGAAGAGAAGGCAAGCCTTGCTTGGAAGATGTCAGCTCTGCTTTTATTCACATTTGTTTTTGCTCATTTCTTTGGCCATGTCGGGTCTTAACTTGCGGCAGTCTTTGTTTTACTTGCCGCATGGGGGATCTTTAGCTGTGGCATGCGGGAGCTAGTTCCCTGACCAGGGACTGAACCCAGGCCCCCCACATGAGGAGCACAGCGTCTCAGCCCCTGGAGCCCAGGGACGTCCCTGGGAGACGTTCCCTCTTGAGCTCACGGGGTTTCGCCTGCGCTGAGCCTCCTTCCACTAGTGAGCCGTGCCGCGCACGCTGCAGATGCAAACGCACGCTTGCTCGATGCATCGCTTTGCTCTCTGGCAAAGTCTCGACTGAGCTGGGACACAGTCGTTGACGCTGATGGTTCTCAGGATTAGAGAGGGGGCCCCTCTGCCCGCCCCCAGGCTCCTGGTTGGTGGAGACTAGGGTACAGGCGTCGACACACGGCGTCTCATCAAAGGGCTCTTGGGGACCGTTGGGAGACACAGCCAAGCTTGCCCAGGGTCTTAGGGAGAAGGGCCTGGTCCTCACCCCAGCTCCCTGCCCACCTCTCAGCCGGTCACCTCTAATGTTCCACTCAACATGGAGAACCTGCCCATCAACAACGGCAATGGCCAGTCCTTCGGGTTCGTGCTTTATGAGATGACCGTCTGCTCCGGGGGCCGGCTCTATGCCAACGCGCAGGACGAGGCTCAGGTGGGCTGGCGTCTGGCTGCAGGAGGACATCAGCCCAGCTCCGCCGTGGGGCAGGGCCAGTCGCTGGGCCCCTTCGCTGTTTGATATGCTTTTAAGCACCTCTGTGTGTGAGGCTTGATTGGGGTGGAAAAGGCCCATTTTACCTGTCGCACTGTAAGTCTACTGGGGTCTCTGGCCGGGCCGGCTTCTGGCCGCCCACGGACAGCAGGCTGGCGGCTCCCTTCCTGGAGACTGCCCCAACCTCCATCTCCCTGCCCCTTCCTCTGGGTGGGCCTCTCCGTCCGATGCCGGCCCTTCTTTTGCAGGTATTTTTGAATGAGACAAGTTTAGGGATTCTGACTGATGTTTATCGGGACATAGACATTCCTCCAATCACGGTATGTAACTCGGACGTCAAGCTGCTGCCCTAGACCCAGGCCTCCAGCGCAAATGCACTGTTCCTGAGGCAGACCCTCCAGTCTCCCCCTCTGCCGGGGGCGATGGGCCCCTCAGGGTCTTGGCAGAAGGGCTGGGGCTGTGAGTCTGCGTGCGTGCCCTGGGCCCTGATGTGTCCTGGGCTTCAGCTTCTGCACTGGGGTGAGGGTGGACGTTTCCTGCCAAACCCCTAGCTGGCTCTGTCTGAGTGCCACTGAGCCCCGGGCCTCTGCGAGGGTGGACCAGGCAGGACCCTTTGGAGCAGGAGCACTCAGGGTCCTTGGGGCGCCCTCGGCTCCCCCTCGCTTGTCTTCCATCTGGGACTCTGACAAGACTGGGCTCCAGAGGACAAGCCTTCTGTGCTGTGTCCCCATGAACTGGTCTGTCCCAAGCAGGAATGTCAGCTTCTAAGGATCCTGGTGGAGAATCAAGGACGAGTCAGTTTTTCATGGAAAATTCAAAATCAGCGGAAAGGTGGGCTCTGGTAACAGCCATGCCCTCCCTGCCTTGTGACTTGGACCCGAAGGTTGAGGGTGGGATTGGAGAAAAGACTGTCCCCCGGGAGAGGCGGACCCTGGGTCTGGGGACCAGCAGCGCCTGTGCCCCCGCCCCCCACTCCCCCCACTGACCCCCCGGTCCTGTTGACTCCCACTGCTGGGCCAGGCATCCTGGCTGTCTGCTGTGGGACCCAGACCCTCTGGGGAATACCAGGGGAAGTTCAGGGCCTGGGTGGGAAGCTTTCCTGGTGGTTTGGAGACCCTCAGAAACACAGGTCAGACCAATCCTTGCCCCCAGGCCAAGCCCCGGTCACAGATGACTCCGGGCTGTGAGTCTGTGCTTGGACACCAGAGAATGTCCCAGCCATCTTACCTCTGCTCCCTCCCTCTGCAGGATTGATTGGACCTGTTACTCTGGATAAAATTCCCCTGAGCAGGTTCACCATCTATTCTCTGGAGCTGAAAATGACATTCTTCAAGAAGTATGTTCCTTCTAACACTAAACCTGACTGTGACCCTGACACTGACCCTACATCTGACTCTGACAGTAACTCTGACCCTGACCCTTACTTTAACCCTGACTCTAACCCTAACCCTAACCCTAACCCTGATCCTGACCCTGGCCCTGACCCTGACTCTCACCCTAACCCTAACCCTGACCCCGACCCTAACCCTAACCCTAACCCTAAACCTGACCCTGGCCTGGCCCTGACCCTGACTCTAATCCTAACCCTAACCCTGACCCTGACCCTGGCCCTGATGCTGACTCTCACCATAACCCTGACCCTGACCCTAACCCTGATCCTGACCCTGACCCTGGCCCTGACTCTAATCCTAACCCTAACCCTGACCCTGGCCGTGACTCTAACCCTAACCCTGACCCTGGCCTGGCCCTGGCCCTGACACTGATTTTACCCTAACACCGACCCTGACCCTGGCCGTGGCCCTGACTCTAACCCTAACCCTAACTCCAACCCTAAACCTGACCCTGGCCTGGCCCTGACCCTGACCCTAACCCTAACTTTAACCCTGACCCTGACCCAGACTCTAACCCTAAATCTGACCCTGACTCTAACCCTAACTCTAAATCTGACCCTGACCCTGACTCTAACCCTAACCCTAACCCTGACTGTAACCCTAACTCTGACCCTGACCCTGGCCCTGACACTGACCCTGACCCTGACCCTGACCCAGGCCCTGACCCTGACTCTAACCCTAACCCTGACTCTAGCCCTGACCCTGACCATGGCCCTGGCCCTGACCTTGACCCTGACCATGACCCAGGCCCTGACCCTGACCCTGGCCCTGACTCTAGCCCTGACCCTGACCCAGGCCCTGACCCTGACCCTAACCCTGACTCTAACTCTAAACCAGACCCTGACCCTGACCCTGGCCCTGGCCTAACTTTGGAGACCAGGGAGCTTGAGGTCCCCAACCCTTCCCTTTGCAGACGAGGGGCCAAGGTTCATGGCCCCAGAGTGAGGTGCTCAGGGTCATCAGGAATCCCGGTTCCAGCAGAACCCCTGACACAGGACCCCCGTCCTGCGGGGGGGCCCGGGTCAGCCCACCCTGCGGGGGAGGCCTGGGGTCAGCATGTCCTGTGTGGGGGCCTGGGTCAGCCCATCCTGCGGGGGAGGCCTGGGGTCAGCACGTCCTGTGTGGGGGCCCGGGGTCAGCATGTCCTGTGTGGGGGCCCGGGTCAGCCCATCCTATGGGGGGGCCCGGGTCAGCCCATCCTGCGGGGGAGGCCCGGGGTCAGCATGTCCTGTGTGGGGGCCCGGGGTCAGCATGTCCTGTGTGGGGGCCCGGATCAGCCCATCCTGTGGGCGGGTCCAGGGTCAGCCCATCCTGTGGGGGGGTCCAAGGTCAGCCCATCCTGTGGGGGGGGTCCAGGGTCAGCCCATCCTGTGGGGGCGTCCAGGGTCGGCCCATCCTGTGGTGGGGTCCAGGGTCAGCTCGTCCTGTGGGGGAGGCCCGGGGTCAGCTCGTCCTGTGGAGGAGATCAGGGGTCAGCCCGTCTTGTGGGGGAGGTCAGGGGTCATCCCGGGGTCAACCCATCCTGTAGAGAAGGCCCAGGGTCAGCATGTCCTGTGGGGAAGCCAGGTCAGCTCATCCTGTTGGGGGGGCCCGAGTCAGCACGTCCTGTGGGAGGCCCGGGGTCAGTCCATCCTGTGGGGGAGGTCAGGGGTCAGCCTGTCTTGTAGGAGACCTGGGGTCAGCCCGTCCTGTGGGGAGGTCGGAGGTCAGCCTGTCTTGTGGGGAGGTCAGGGGTCAGCCCATCCTGTGGGGGTCCCAGGGTCAGCCCATCCTGTGGGGGCTTGGGGTCAGCGTGAGCCTTGGCACTGGGAAAGTCTTTCCTGCTCCTCATGTGTGGCCCCCCAGGCTCCGCTCTGCACCCTGGAGGCCTCTCAGGGGCCCCTCCTCGAGCCCTGCCTTCCACCTGGGCACGCTGATGGCTGGCTCTTCCCCGCAGGATACCTTCCTCCAGCTGCCCGTGAGTGAGCGCCCCTCTACGCACGCCTGTCCTCGCGGGGTCTGGAAGGGAGGCCCCCGCGTTCTTTCCCTTCCTCACTTTAACCAAGGTTTCCAACAGGTTTCAGTCCTCCTAACTTTTCATTGTTTAAGAAATAATACATCAAAGCACAGTGGAAAAGTTCAGATAATAATATGTAGACAGCAAAGGGTGTAGGTTCTCTCGCAACCCCCCCAACTCCTCTCTACTTCCCAGAATTAAGCGTGGCCAATGGTTTCATGTGTGGTTTCATGAGTAACTGTGCTTGGACACATACATGTCATATCTTTTTACACTAATGGCATTGTTCCATAAAGTGTATTCTCCAATTTGCCTCCTTTCCTCGGATATTATTTTTTACCTAGTATATCTTCTATATGTAAATACCTGCATAATATAAAGCACAAAATATGAATGTACAGATCAATAAATTATCACAATCAATAAATTATCAATAAATTATCACAATAATGAACACCATAAAATTACCATTGAGATAGAAAACGAAACATTGTCAACAGCCCTCCCAGTGCGAACCTCCCCTAACAGGTCCCAGTGCAGAGAGCAGACTAGTTAATGAGGTTCCCTGAGACCGAGCTTTCCCGGATGAAACCTGGGTGTGTGTGAGGTGTGAGAGCTCCGCTCGGCCTCTCGCCTTCCCTTCCTGGGTGAGCAGGCGCCTCTAGGGGAACACTGTTTCCATGTCTTCCCCCAGGTGTTGGTCCTTGAATTCTTACTTGGCTCACAAGCAGATTAAAACCACATAACTTTTATGGTTGTTGTCAACAGCGGTGTTCACCCCGAGTACCTCGTACTTGTTTCTGGAAGCAGAAGCCCTGCTGTTTGAAAAAAGACAGCACCGCCTGTCATAGGTTGGGAGCCTTGGCTGCCCCCGGGTGGCAGAGGCTCCGTGCCCCCCCGGGCTCCCCTCATCGCTCCATACCTGGGAGTCCCGGGCTGCCCTCGGGTGGCAGGCGCTCTGTGCCCCCCCGGGCTCCCCTCATCACTCCATACTGGGAGACCCGGGCTGCCCTCGGGTGGCAGGGGCTCTGTGCCCCCCCGGGCTCCTCTCCTCACTCCATACCTGGGAGTCCCGGGCTGCCCTCGAGTGGCAGGGGCTCTGTGCCCCCCCCAGGCTCCCCTCATCACTCCATACCTGGGAGTCCCGGGCTGCCCCCGGGTGGCAGGGGCTCCGTGCCCCCCCGGGCTCCCCTCATCACTCCATATCTGGGAGTCCCGGGCTGCCCCCGGGTGGCAGGGGCTCCGTGCCCCCCCGGGCTCCCCTCATCACTCCATATCTGGGAGTCCCGGGCTGCCCCCGGGTGGCAGGGGCTCCGTGCCCCCCCGGGCTCCCCTCATCACTCCATATCTGGGAGTCCCGGGCTGCCCCCGGGTGGCAGGGGCTCCGTGCCCCCCCGGGCTCCCCTCATCACTCCATATCTGGGAGTCCCGGGCTGCCCCCGGGTGGCAGGGGCTCCGTGCCCCCCCGGGCTCCCCTCATCACTCCATATCTGGGAGTCCCGGGCTGCCCCCGGGTGGCAGGGGCTCCGTGCCCCCCCGGGCTCCCCTCATCACTCCATATCTGGGAGTCCCGGGCTGCCCCCGGGTGGCAGGGGCTCCGTGCCCCCCCGGGCTCCCCTCATCACTCCATATCTGGGAGTCCCGGGCTGCCCCCGGGTGGCAGGGGCTCCGTGCCCCCCCGGGCTCCCCTCATCACTCCATATCTGGGAGTCCCGGGCTGCCCCCGGGTGGCAGGGGCTCCGTGCCCCCCCGGGCTCCCCTCATCACTCCATATCTGGGAGTCCCGGGCTGCCCCCGGGTGGCAGGGGCTCTGTGCCCCCCCGGCTCCCCTCATCGCTCCATACCCGGGAGCCTTGGGCTGCCTCTGGGTGGCAGGGGCTCTGTGCCCCCCGGGGCTCCCCTCATCGCTCCATGCCCGGGAATCCCGGGCTGCCCCCAGGTGGCAGGGGCTCCGTGCCCCCCCGGGCTCCTCTCCTCACTCCATACCTGGGAATCCCGGGCTGCCCCCAGGTGGCAGGGGCTCTGTGCCCCCTCAGGCTCCCCTCATTGCTCCATACCCGGGAGCCTCACCTGTACTGTGCAGTGACTGTTCCCGGGTCTCCAGTCTGCTTCCCTTGCAGGGCTGGAAGCACGGGTGTGTGTTCATCAATGGCCATAACCTTGGGCGGTACTGGAATATTGGGCCTCAGGAAGCGCTTTATCTGCCTGGCTCCTGGCTCCAGCCTGGCACCAATGAGGTGGGTGGCCCCAGCCCCCCTTTAGGGCTCAGACCCGCCCTCACCCCAGGCCTGCTCATCCTGCGGGGCTCACCCTTTCTTCCGCCACGCTGCCTGTCGTTCCAGATTGTCCTGTTCGAGAAGGAGAAGAGCAGCTCAGATATCTACAGCACAGACATCCGCAGGTGGGTGGTACCGGGTCCAGACAGCCTTCTTCACTGACCGAGTCCATCCCCAGGTGCACTTTCAGGCCGAAGATTATATCCATAATATCACACAGCATTGCCTACAGTAGCAGGTATTGAAAATATCCTAAAAATCAACAGGGAAATCATTATGTTTATTATAGTAAATTCATGTGATGCTGATTTCAGCCTTTAAAGAGTCTCCAAAACCTTCAGTGATAGATTTGCCAGTTAGACGCTCAACCTGCAGCATGTTTTAGTCTCTGCTCAAAAGTGCTTCTGGGGCAGATATGAGTAAAATGAACGCACTTTATTTCTGCCTGTCCATACTCAGCTGGAAGAAATGGACCTGTCTTTGGCCGAAGAGAGGGTGAAGAGAGAGCGTATTGTATGTTCTGTCTGGAGACTCCCGCTGTGTGTGTGTGTGTGTGTGTGCGCGCGCGCGCGTGTGCATGCATTTGTGTGTGTATGTGTCTGTGTGCATTTGTGTATGTCTGTGTGTGCATGTGCATGCATTTGTGTGTGTATATGTGCGTGCATGTGTGTATCTGTGTGTGCGTGCATGTGTGTGTATCTGTGTGTGTTTGCATGTATGCATGCACTTGTGTGTGTATGGGTCTGTGTGCATTTGTGTATGTCTGTGTGTGCATGTGCATACATTTGTGTGTGTGTATGTGTGCGTGCATGTGTGTGTATCTGTGTGCATGTATGCATGCATTTGTGTGTGTGTGTGTGTGTATCTGTGTGTGTGTGTAGTTGCGGGGGTGCAAGGACAGTGAGCAATGTCTTCAGGCTTTTCCCTCCCGTCTGTGTGTCTCTGTGGTGGTCTGCTGAGTCATCCAGTCAGAGAAGGAACAACAGTGTGATTGTTGGCTGTGACACTCGTGAGACAGCAGGGCCTGGCATGGAGCATCTGTCATGACTCCTGAGCCGTCTGTGTGTAGTCAAAGCTCTTACTGGTCGAGGACAGATACTGGTGAGAGAAGCCCCGCGGTGGTGAATACTGCAACCAGCTCTCTCAAAAGGCAGCACTGGGAGGCAGTCCCTTACAGCCCTCTCTCTGTGTCTGAGGGGACTGATTCCAGGACCCCCAACGGTGCCCAAGTCCCTTACAAGACACAGTGAGCAGACCATCTGCATATGATGCACACACATCCTTCCCCGTACCGCACTCTAAATCCTCTCTAGATTACTTGTAATACCTAATACAATGTAAATGCTAAGTGAATAGTTACTGGCTCGTGATAAATTTAACTTTTGCTCTTGGGAAGTTTCTGGAATTGTTTTCCCAAGTCGGTTTCGATTCTCGATTGGCTGAGCCATGGATGTGGAGGACCAACTGTGCTTATAATCCAGATACAGCACCTGGCTTGAACTCAAAGCAGTGCACCAAAAACAGACTTATCACTTCGTTATGTTGTGTAGAGGTTTCAGGAAGTTTAGCAAGTAATCTGGTGTCCAGAGGGAAGAAGGAACCATCCTGTTTGGCAGGAGGAGAAAGTGAGACTGCCTTCTACTCCACTGTTGGGAATGGCTGGCTCGACGAAGGAGAATTCTACCATGAACCACACAACTCCTACAAAGGACCTTGTTATTGTCTGGGGCTTTAGACTCAAATCCATGGGGTCTGTGGAGAAAAGCAGAAATCAGAACCATCAGATCACAAGAAAGTATTAAACCTCAGATATGATGTATACATCTTTTCTAAACATGAGAACTATGCCCAGATGGAAAAACTAAGGCTCAAGGAGATGTGTCTTTTTTTGATGACTATTGTGTTTTTGATTTACTCTTCTTTTGCTTTCCTATCTCTGCTCTAATTATTTTCTATGCTTTTAAATTGTGTATCTAAATGAGGTGATGTGGGTTTACTAAATTTACTATGATCATCGTTTAGTGACGTATGTAAGTCAGATCATTATGGCACACACCTTGAATGTATTGCCATGCTGATGTCAATTCTGTGTCAATAAAGCCAGGAGGAAGAAAAGATGCACGAGCCCATTTCCTTCCAGAACCGTGGTGGTGCTGGGATGGAGGCAGGTATGTCTCATCCACCGGTGCGTTCTCAGCCTCCAACACAGAGCACCAGCTCAGTAGGGCGTCCGGAGCAATCGGACCATGTCTGTCAGGGGTAAAGGACGTGAAGCGTTTCAGCGGAGGGTCGCAACTGAGGGTTACTCAGTCTTGGTATATTCTGAGAGTTGCAAATAACCTGTCACACCCGGGTCTCCCTCATTGCAGGCAGATGCTTTTACCCTCTGAGCCATAGTCCAGGAGGGTGAAAGTGTATGAAAGTTCTTAATAACTGTTTTCGTAGATGATATTGATAGTTTTCGTAGGAATCTTTAACCATTGCTTTATTTTACTTCAACTTAATGCAGTTTTAATGTTTCACTTTGTGGCGTCTCCCGCATGCATGCCTATATCTGAAAGCAAATGTTCAGATACTCAGGACAGACTCAGAGGGCGCAGCTGGTGCTCACCGCCGACAGCTCACACGGCTTGTATCTGCAATCGCTCTGCCACCAGGCAGGCATGCTGCTATGCGTGGCCCCGCCTGCTCACCCCGGAGCCTGCCTTCCCCAGCCCTGGCCCACCCACAACACCCCCTCAGGACGTGGCTGCAGAGATGCACCACATCCGTTCTGCTTCGGTGCTTTCCGTCTCTTTGATCACAATCGCATATCTGTGTCCAGTGCTACGATTTCCTTCTCCCACCCGAAGTGGAGATGAAAACTGGGCTGTATCCTTGATTCAGGGTCACAAGCCACAGCTGCTTCCCCATTTCTCTGTTCCTCTTGCAGCAGATATCCTTGAAGGAGGCTTGTCTGCTTCCACCTGAGGCCCCTCGTCCTCCCTAGCCCGTTCCGCTGCCCCAGCCTCTCCACACCTCCCTGCATCACAGTTGCCAGAGTCCTCGGTGGACCAAACCCTCCGCCGGCCAAGCAGCTGGCCCGAGCTGGGCTTCTGGGCCTCTGGACAGGCCGACCCTCCCAGTCTCCTCCATCCCAGGGATGGCAACCCTGCTTCCTCCTCTTTCTCAGGCCCAGCATGACGGAGTCATTCTCGAATCCTCCTTATTTTTTCTCCCCACAAACGATCCAGGCATCAAAGACTCCTCCCCATGCCAGGCTGCCGCTGTCTCACCACATGGACGTCTGCAGTAGCCCCTGGTCGGTCCCCTTTCTTGTACCGCTGCCCACTCCTGGCATCCAGATGACCTTTGGAAACACAGTGGACGCCATGCGCAGAGCCTGCCCTGGCTCCCTGATTCCCTGAGTCAGAGGTCTGCAATGGAAGGCCTGCCTAAGGGGTCTTGGTTCCCCTGGCCTCCTCCCTGCAGGCCTGGACCCCCGGGCATTGCCCCCCGGGACCCTCTCTGCTTGGCCGCCGCCCCCTCAGCCCCACACACAGGTGATGACTCAGGGCTTTGCTCAGCGAAGCCCTCTCGGTGAGGCCTCCCCTGTACACGGCACCCCCGACACCCCCTTCTCTCGTCTGCTTCCTTTATGCTGTGGAATTCACGGCCTTGGAGACAGGCTGGGACACGGTCCTTTTGTGGAGTTTGTACCTGGACCAACCTCTGGAGCGACAGATACAAAGGCGCTGCGGGTACAGCACGAAAGATGACTGCGAGGGGTTGGAGCAGATCATCCACGAGACACAGGAAGGCCACAATGCAGCTGCCGCTTCTGGGGTGCCGGGCGCGAGACGGGGTCCCTGCACACAGCACCCCTGGGGGGGCGCGCCTGCTCCCCAGGCCCAGCCCCACCCTGGACTGGCCCCCCAGGGAGGAGCCCCCCACTGCTCTGACTCCCTGAGCTGCAGCAGGGGCCCCAGTGGGCTCCCCTGAGCCCTCCTCTGGCCTCTGGCCCACTCACAGGCTAAAAAGCCCAGGGTCGGTGTCGCCTTGAACACACGGGACTGATCGGTTTGTGCATTTTTGCTGTTCCGCTTCCTCAGCCGGGGCAGACGTCTCTGAGAGAGGGGCCACTGAACCCTCCCCAGCACCCGAACAGTGCTCCGCACACAGCGAACCCAAATGCTGTTGATCCTGCCTGGATGAGTGAACGCTGTTGAGTCAGATCTTGCTTTTCAGTCGCCCAGAGGCTGAGCTGCAAAGTGGCCTTTGGGAACGGCCCAGGCCAGCGCTGGAGCCGGTGCACCCCCGGCAAACACACAGGCCCCCAGCACCCCAGATGTGCCTTTCTGGGGAAGCCTTGACTGACCGTCCCAACTCGGACCCATTTTCCTTTCTTGTTTCCCGAGGACAAGGGTTTTTTTCTTTTTTTAAAAAAATTTTTAATCGAAGGCTTATTGCTTTACAGAATTGTGCTGGTTTCTGCCAAAAAGCAACATGAATCAGCCGCCGGTGTATACATGACCCCTCGCGGACAGCGGTTTTCCGCGTTCTTTTCATCCAGGGCTGAGATGATGCTCACTTACTCCCAGGCGGTCCCCCTGTGCTCCCACTGGCTCACAGNTCAGGGTCAGGAGCAATCAAGCATTCTGCAAAGGAGTATCTTGAAGGCACCTCGTGCTACTCTTTTAAGAACCCGAAGTCTTGGCTCCTCAGCAAACACGTCTGGAGTAGCAGCACCTGTGCAGCATGGCCCTGGTGTCACTACATCCTGATGGAGTAAATGTGTTCTTAACCCAGGAGTAGGGCATGTCTACAGGTCTGCAGCTCTCAGCAGGTTAAGGGGTAAGGATTTCTTCTGTAGCACTGAGTTATTCACAATTTCCCCCATAAATAAAAACAAAGGACACAGGGCTGGGCTAATGATTTTGTGGTTTTTACAGCCCATGTCAACAAGTTTAATATCTGAAAAAAAAAAAAAGGAGAATCTGATACTGTTTAAATAGTTTAAGGATACCCTGGTGTTTAGTGGACTGTGCTATTTATTCATTTATTACTTTTGCAATAATTTGTGTGAATCCTAGCTCACTTAAAAAATACATTTGTTTATTTGACCCTGCCAGATTTTAGCTGCTGCTTGTGGGATCTAGCTCCCTGACCAGGGATCAGACCTGGGCCCCTTTTATGGAGAGTGTGGATTTCTCGCCATTGGACCAGCAGGGGGGTCCCGGGACTGTGCTGTTTGCTGCTCAGCAGCGCCCCCAGGAGCCAGGACAGGTGTATCTGGGACGCAGGTGGGAAGGGCCTCACCTGCGACCCCTTCCCCGTGCGTCTCCTGGGGCGTCTCTCACTCCAGCTACACCAACACACCTTTATCACAGTCTTAACACCTACCAGGCAATTTTATGTCTTAAAAAAAAGTGGAAAAAGTGGATAGAAGATGCTGGCTTTGGGGCGTGCGCTCAGGGGGAGAGTCTGAGCCCTGGAATCTTGAGGGCGGCTCCGGCCTGGGTCAGCCCCAGCCACCCCCCACCCCCTGCCACTGCGCCACGGCTTCCGCCTGCCTGTTTGTTCCTTTCTTTCTGTCTCTCCTGGGTTTAACTTTCTCTAGCTGACAAATATCTGCTTAATGCTGGAAAAAAAACTCTTCAAAGTAAATGCAGTTTCTCTTTGTTCCAGAAGTAAAACCTCACTGTGTTCCTAGCAGCTTTTCAAGTCCAGAGCTATGTGCAAGCGCAGCATACAGTTTTAAAACATGCAGTGGTGTGTGTGTGCCTGCACGTGTATTTTCTAGAAACTCTGATGCTGTGAAAAACATCAGCCTCCCTAGACATGTTTCATATTTTCTTTCAGTAAACTCTGAATTTTGTTCTTGGGATGAGTTGGGCTTGTGATTGCTAGAAAGCATAAATTTGCCCAAATATCATACAACTTCCTTTGTGACATAATTCTGTGCCAAAATAAGACTTTTATTCATCTTTTCCTAAAATGTGAGGTTTATCTGGACTTTTTTTAAATTAAAAAATTTAAAGTGGTAGGAGTGAGGACCAGAACAAGACTTGTGGACCCAAAGGCAGAGAATATTTCAGTTGGCCCCTTGCACCCATGCTATTCAAATGTGTGCCAGACACATTTGTCTAAAGAAAATCTATAATGTTTTGGCTTTTCACATGATCAGTTCAGTTGCTCAGCTGTGTCCAACCCCATGGACTGCAGCACGCCAGGCCTCCCTGTCCATCACCAACTCCCAGAGTTTACTCAAACTCACGTCCATCGAATCGGTGATGCCATCCAACCATCTCATCCTCTGTCATCCCCTTCTCTTCCCACCTTCAATCTTTCCCAGCATCAGGGTCTTTTCAAATGAGTCATTTNTTTTTTTTCATTTATTTTTATTAGTTGGAGGCTAATTACTTTACAATATTGTAGTGGTTTTTGTCATACATTGACATGAATCAGCCATGGATTTACATGTATTCCCCTCAAGAGGCTCTTTAGTTCTTCTTTGCTTTCTGCCTTAAGGTTGGTGTCATCTGCATATCTGAGGTTATTGATATTTCTCTCTGCAATCTTGATTCCAGCTTGTGCTTCATCCAGCCCAGCATTTTGCATGATGTACTCTGCATAAGAGTTAAATAAGCAGGGTGACAATATACAGCCTTGAGGTACTCCTTTCCCGATTTGGGCTTCCCTGGTGACTCAGCTGGTGAAGAAGCCGCCTGCAATGCAGGAGACCTGGGTTCGATCCCTGGGCTGGGAAGGTCCCCTGGAGAAGGGAGCAGCTACTCACTCCAGTATTCTTTCCTGGAGAATTCCGTGGACTGTATAGTCCACTCGGTCACAAAGAGTCGGACACGACTGGCCGAGTTTCACTTTCACATGATAAGTCACTATTTAAAAAACGTTTCTCTTCAGCATTTGAACTGCTTTAAAACACTGCGTTGGCTTTGGAAGCACCTTTCGCACCTATCACCAATTCAGGGCGCCGGGGGTGACTTTACCCGCGTATTCAAGTGCGCAAGGGCTGCGCAGCGCGCGCCCAGGAGGTCAGCTTCTGTTTGCACATCTCCAGCTGCAGTGTCTCTGCCACTCAGAGAGACTCTCAGGGCCAGGCCGCCGGGAGGGTGTCTGGCGCGCGGTGACGGGGCTGAGGACCGGAAACCACCGGGGGCCCCCGCCACTCTCCGCGAGGCCCCGCCCCGCCCCGCGACCCCGCCCCGCCCCGCCGCGCGGCCTCGGGGCGGGCCCTCGGTCTGCGGCCAATGAGCACCGGCGAGCTAGGAGCGCGGCGGCTTGTTGCCTTGGCGACCGGCGCGCGGCCCCGCCCCCGCCGAGTCTGGTTCGGACTCCAGTGCCAGTGGGTCCGGTGCAGTGGACGCACGATGCCCAAGTGGGGCGCGCGGCGGAGGCCGGGCCTCCTGCTCGGCGCGCTTCTGCTGATCGTGTGCCTCCCGGTGCTCCGCAGGTGAGCTGACGCCGCGTCCCGCACACCTGCGCCCGCTCCCGGAGCCGGCCCGGAGCCCCCGAGGGCAGTCCCCACGGGGTGAACCCCCCGGCCCCGTCCGACCGGAGCGCCGGCGCCCGGTCGCTCTGCGCCCCCGGCGCCCAGGCACTGCACGCCCGGCCCCGACGTCTGCGCCCAGCCGGGGCTCCCCACCCTACTGCGCAGGGGGTCCGCATAGAACTGGCCATCAGACAGGGGCCCAGCGTGCGCGCCCCGAGTCCTCCTGCCGAGCCCCAGGCCCACTGCTTTTCTCCGAGGTCCCCACATTTCCTGCCAAGCCTGCTGCGAGGTTTCTCTGTTCGGCTGAGGTCAGAGCTCCAGCTCCGTAGGGTCCACTTGCCCGGCCCAGCGCAGTCCCCAGGCCTCTGTCCCGCGGGTCCTCCAAGCTCCTTAGTCTGGGTGTGGTTGCCCCGTTCTCAGGATGCGTCTTCCCCTCGCCCACCACCAGCCCAACAGCTCACCCCTTCCCACTCCCCATTCCCTTATAACATGTTATCTGGGGGTACGTTTGAGGATAGAATGCTTTACCCACCACCTATGCGTGTGCCTGAGCCTAGGCTTTTCCTACCGACTCTGTTTATAGGATTTTACAGCTGTGACCCTATCTCTCAGGTCAACGCCTGGAACTTTCCATATTCAAAATGTCCAGTGTTTCGGGAAGGCAGGCAGGGACGCTAGTGTTGAAGCTGAAGGCTGAGCCAGTGGACCTGCTGCAGGCACGCTGCCCTCAGCTTTATCTGTTGCTTCTTTCTGTGTCCTTGTCACTCCTCTGGAAGACGGCGATGTTTGGGAGGGAGCGAACTCTTTCCCTTTGCACCTTTCCAAGTCTGAGGTGTCACCTTTGTTTCGGAGGTGACGAGGGTGTCAGCATTGTTTGGGAGAAGGAAATGCTTTTCTGGGGCTCGGAAAACTTCAGGGTGTCCTGTTTCCCCAGCTGCTCCCAAGACTTTCCCATCCTGTCTGTGATCTCTCCCTTTCCTCTTTGAGGACTGGTCCTAGCCCTTGGAGGCACAGGGCTGACGCAAACCCCAGAGTGATCCCTCCAGGCAGAGGTGGCAGGAGCCTCTGGCGTACACCCATGTATCCAGGAGACCACACCCCAGGGAGAAAGGCCCGCCGGCAGGAGGGGCACGTGCTTGGATGCTGGAGGTCAGAGAGGCAGCAGCCCTTGCGGGGAACCCAGACAGGTCATGGGGAGGGAGGTGGTGGCTGCAAGGAGCTCAGGATGGGCCAGGCAGGTACCCTGACAGTCTCCAGGAGGAGGCGCGAGAAGGGGGCGGGTGCTTGTTGGGGTCTGGAGGGAGAGGGGGTAAAGAAACTGGGCTCTCGCAGGCCAGGGAACAGTGTGTTCATCTGCCGGCAGGAAGAGCTGGGTCCGTGGAGCAGCCTAGACGAAGGGCAGCAGTTCCTGCCCTGGCAGCGGTGTGGCACGTTCAGCATTTAGGAAGGACACGGCGTTCCTGCTGCGCCTTCTTTCTCGGCAGGCGAGCCAGAGGCCGGAGAAGCTCGGGCTGGGTCAGGGCTGCCTCTGAAGTCCTCCAGAATACTTGTCTCCTTGCGTCTTTCGGGCTGCGTCTCACAGCTGCCTTCCGCCCAGGTCCCTCTGCCCCACTTGGGCTGGACACCGAGACCTGAGTCTGGAGGCCAGAGCCAGCTCCCTCCCCTGCCTGACCCCTCTGGCCAGGTCATCCACCGACTGGGGCCTCTCCCAGCTGTTGGGAACGTGGACGCGGTCCCCAAAGTAGAGGTCACGCGGGGATGGGCCGCAGAGCCGGGAGCTCCAGGTCAGGGGCGGGTGTGTGGGTGGGGGAGGCTGCTTGGCTGCAGCCTTTTTTTTTTTTCGTGACCTTTTACCTGGATTGGTTTGTGGTCAATCACTGCTGTTTGCTGACATCATATCCAAGAGAAGACTTTTGAGGAAGATTTCAGCCTTTGGTTTTTTAGCTTGAACATTGGTCTTAAAAAAATCACCTTGATGGCGGTATAATCGTCGTGTAATCAGTCGCACGTGTAGCAGGTGTGTCTGCTGGGTTCTGACACATGCACCATCCGTGGAGCGACCACCGCAGCTGCGACCGAGTGGGTGTCCACCAGCCCCGGAAGCTCACTGGTGCCCCTGGGTCCCATGCTCGCCTCTCCCCAAGAACACTCATATGCTGCGTTTGGCCTCAGACACTACCTGGCATCCTCTCAAGCCTCCAGAGGTGTAGCCCTCTGCCTTGGCTGACTGTCTTCACTTGGCGTGTTTCTTGGGGTCCAGGGTGTGTGTGCTGGGCGAACCTCGGCTCCGAACCTCCCCTTCTCCACAAGCACAAGAATGCCTGCCTGCTGTGACAAGGGCGTGGTTCCCGTTCAGGACCTTCCCTCAGTATCCGTGCCTCACTGAGCAACCCCCAGGGAGCTCTGCGTCTCTCTAAGCTAGAGGTCAGCTGCAGAGTCGGCAGGGCCAGAGCCGAGGTGGGCTGCCTGCATTGCCTCCCGAGGGAGGTCGTCTTTGCTGCTCCCACCCTGCCAGGGTCTGGGTTCCAGAAGGTCGTTCCTCCCCTGGGGGGGAGAGGAGAAGGACCTCTCAGGCGCCCCGGGGACGTGGGTCACAGCCTCGGGACCAGGTCGCTCTCTTTGGTCCCCTCCTCTGAGGGCGTTGAGTGCCGGGCCATGTCCTTCCAGGCATCTGTGAGGTCACAGGTTTTATGGGCTTCGGCTGTTCCGGACGCTGCTCTCCGTGGGGCCCAAGTCATCGCTGCTGGAACGCTCCAGCTCTCACGTTCTGGCAGCAAAGCTCTCAGCCCGTGGGAGTGTCACCACTGACACACCTGGGGAGGGGGGGCAGGTGTCTGGGACCCTGTGCCAGAGGAGAGGGTGGGTGCTGAGGGTCTGTGATTGGGGGACCGGGATCTCAGCAAGTGCGTGGATGCTGAGGGTCTGTGATCAGGGGACCAGGGTCTCAGCAAGTGCGTGGACAATGAGGATCTGTGATCAGGGGACCAGGGTCTCAGCAAGTGCGTGGATGCTGAGGGTCTGTGATTGGAAGACCGGGTTCTCAGCAAGTGCGTGGACAATGAGGATCTGTGATCAGGGGACCAGGGTCTCAGCAAGTGCGTGGACAATGAGGATCTGTGATCAGGGGACNTGCCCTTCTGGGCACTTCCTCTGTCGCTGCTGCCAGTGGGGACGTTCCCCAAAGTGAGGGCATGGGGCCCCCTGACGTCCGGTCACTCTGTGCTGTTCACGTGTGGTGGAATCCGAATGAGAGGTGTCACCGCACAACGGGGTCTTGGGGTCTCCTCGAGTAGATATTGTTCACACATGAACTCCTATGGGCTTTAGACAGGGCTGCCGGCCTGGCCTGCGGGGCCAGAACTCCCCCGCTCACCAGGTCCTTCCCACGGGGATGGGCGGGGTGCCAGGAGCGGTGGGCACAGGCCTGCGGATGCTGCCCGATGGATGGAAGGCCAGCCCTCTGGAAACAGTTAACACCTCTCCCAGCAAAGCAGGAGCCATGGCCTGGTGCACATGGCCAAGGAGTGTGGCCACAAAGCCGGGCAGACCCGGGCAGAGCTGCAGCTCTCGGGGCTCATGGGCTGATGCAAGAGGCACTCTTCTGGGGCGGGGGCGGTGTCAGAGGCGCTGGCCAGGAATGGGGAGGGGGTGGATCCTTCCTCAGGCCCCCAGCCACCGCTGACTGAGGGCGGCATGCACACAGCTGAACGCTGGTGAGACCCCAAGCCCCCAGGTGGGCAGTTCCGGAGACGGGGTGGCTGATGAAGCTGGGCCTCAGGAGCGTGTGGCCACGTCCGTCTTCAGAGTGATGAGGAGAAGCGTGTATTTCAGTCCCAAGTGTGAGGGTGTCTTCATCGTGTCCTCCTGGGTGACAGCCTCAGGCACAGCCACATGGAGGGGCGGTGTGTTTTCACGGTCAGCATCTTTAGAGCGAAGCCCTGGACGCAGACTCAGCAGAACCTCACCGAGTGGGCAGCAGTGTGCGTTATGTGCAGACAGAGAGGCATCCGGAATTCAGAAGAGAGTGTAGATGGGAGCTCCTGCTGGAAGGAAGGCAGCGGCCCTGGTCTCCGCAGAAAGTGTCGTCAGGGCACGTCCCTGGTGGTCTGGTGGCTGAGACTGTGCCCTCGTGCAGGGGGCCCAGCTTCTAGCCCTGCTCAGGGAACTGGATCCCGCATGTGGCAACTGAATGTTCTGCGTGCCACGTTGAAAACTGAAGATCCCATGTGCCACTGCTAAGCCCCAGAGCAGCCAAATAAATAAATGTTTTTTGTTTTCTTTTTAGTTTCATCAGGAATGAACTGCTCGCGGGAAGGCAGCAGTAAGCAGGGCTTCCCTGGGGTTGGTGGGCTCCGAGCGCACAGACCTCCATCAGAAGAGAGGCCCCTGCCTGAGCCCGCCACAGGCCCTGGTGCCTTTCTCAACCGTGGCTTGTCAGCTGCTCGGGAAGCCGGAGGTGGTCATTAGTGTAACGAGCAGCAGCACTGATGATCACCGTCTGTATTAATAACTGTTTACGTTGTTGTTTATGGGGCTCTGACATGTATCACCTCATTCTCTCACAGTGTTCCTTGGAGAAACCCAGCATTTATTATCCTGGTTTTCCCGGTGAAGCCATCCCTATTATTAGTGTATTGAGGACTTGTTAGTTACCTACCAGAAAGTCCTCAAAGCTGCTGGTTCTCCAGTGTTTGGCCTTCGATAGCAGCTCCAGCTTTGCTGTTTTCAGTGTTAATTTTACCCCTCTTAACACCGAGAGGAAGATTTTTTTAATCTAGAAAATCTTAGGATCTAGAGAGATGGGTAAAGAGAAGCCACACCCTGGAGGAGGCTCTGCAGACGTGTTTCAGAGGACAAGCTGCAGGCTGCTGATCTCAGGTCTACCCCGGGGAACGGCCGCAGTGCAGACTCGGACTCAGTAGGTCCCAGTAGGGCCTGCGTGTCTGCGTTTCTGACGAGCTCCAGGCGTGGCATCTGCAGGGGAAGGGCACACCTGGAGACACAGTGCCCCATGACTTGTCATCCACGGGGGCAAGGGGTCACAGAGAACCATCTCCCACCCCACCTGCACCCATGCACCTGCCAGGTGGCGGAGGCCCTCACAGCTTTTGGGGAAATGGGGTTGTGAACAGACGTTATGTCAGTGACTTGGGGAACTCCCAGGAGCTTTTCTGTTGAAGTTCTGGCCGGTGATCAGGTACTGCTTCCTGGTAGAATGATTGCTCAGTGGGGTGTGTGTGTCTGTGTGTTTGTATATGTATTTGTGCATTCACCACTGGACAGTCAGTGATCAGTGTGCGTGTGTGTCTGTGTGTGCGCCCGTGTGTGTGTGTGTGTGTGTACACTGCTGGATGGTCAGTGATCAGTGTGCGTGTGTGTATGAGTGTCTGTGCACGCGCACTGCTGGACGGTCAGTGATCAGTGTGCGTGTGTGTGTGTGCACTGCTGGATGGTCAGTGATCAGTGTGTGTGTGTCTGTGTGTGTGTGTGTGTACACTGCTGGATGCTCAGTGATCAGTGTGTGTGTGTGTGCACTGCTGGATGGTCAGTGACCAGTGTGCCCGTGTGTGTGTGTGTGTGTGCACTACTGGGATGGCCAGTGATCAGTGTGTGTGTGTCTGTGTCTGTGTGTGTGTACACTGCTGGATGCTCAGTGATCAGTGTGTGTGAGTGTGTGTGCACTGCTGGATGGTCAGTGATCAGTGTGTGTGAGTGTGTGTGCACTGCTGGATGGTCAGTGACCAGTGTGCCCGTGTGTGTGTGTGTGTGCACTACTGGGATGGTCAGTGATCAGTGTGCGTGTGCGTGGGTGTGTGTGTGCACTGCTGGATGGTCAGTGATCAGTGTGCGTGTGTGTGTGTGTGTGTGTGTGTGCACTGCTGGATGGTCAGTGATCAGTGTGTGTGTGTCTGTGTGTGTGTGTGTACACTGCTGGATGGTCAGTGATCAGTGTGTGTGAGTGTGTGTGCACTGCTGGATGGTCAGTGACCAGTGTGCCCGTGTGTGTGTGTGCACTACTGGGATGGCCAGTGATCAGTGTGTGTGTGTCTGTGTCTGTGTGTGTGTGTACACTGCTGGATGCTCAGTGATTAGTGTGTGTGTGTGAGTGTGTGTGCACTGCTGGATGGTCAGTGACCAGTGTGCCCGTGTGTGTGTGTGTGTGCACTACTGGGATGGTCAGTGATCAGTGTGCCCCTCTTTGTGTGTCTGTGTGTGAGTGTGTGTGCACTGCTGGATGGTCAGTGACCAGTGTGCCTGTGTGTGTGTGTGTGTGCACTCTTGATGGTCAGTGACCAGTGTGTGTGTGTGTGTGCACTCTTGATGGTCAGTGACCAGTGTGCCCGTGTGTGTGTGTGTGTGCACTCTTGATGGTCAGTGATCAGTGTGCCCCTCTTTGTGTGTGTGTGTGTGTGTGTGCACTGCTGGACCGTCAGTGATCAGTGTGTGTGTGCCCATGTGTGTGTATGTGTGTGCACTGCTGGATGGTCAGTGATCAGTGTGCCCGTGTGTGTGTGTGTGTGTGTGTGCACTCTTGATGGTCAGTGATCAGTGTGCCCCTCTTTGTGTGTGTGTGTGTGTGTGTGCACTGCTGGACCGTCAGTGATCAGTGTGTGTGTGCCCATGTGTGTGTATGTGTGTGCACTGCTGGATGGTCAGTGATCAGTGTGCCCGTGTGTGTGTGTGTGTGTGTGTGCACTCTTGATGGTCAGTGATCAGTGTGCCCCTCTTTGTGTGTGTCTGTGTGTGTGTGTGCACTGCTGGATGGTCAGTGATCAGTGTGTGCATGTGTGTGTGTGTGTGTGTGTGCACTGCTGGGATGGTCAGTGATCAGTGTGTGTGTGTGTGTGTGCACACGCACTGCTGGATGGTCAGTGACCAGTGTGCCCGTGTGTGTGTGTGTGTGTGCACTCTTGATGGTCAGTGATCAGTGTGCCCCTCTTTGTGTGTATGTGTGTGCGTGTGCACTGCTGGACTGTCAGTGATCAGTGTGCCTGTTGTGAAGCAGAGAATCTGCACGCAGCTCTGCCCGTCCTCGCCTGGGTGAGCGCGGGGAGGTTAGGTGAGGCTGAAGGCCTCGGAAGCCCGTGCAACACGATGCGTGAAGGAAGGCAGAGTGTGCTCTTTGGGGAAGATGTGCTCAGAGAGCAGGGAGACCGTGCTCAGCTGTGGGTGAGCTGGAGGCCTCCCACGAGCAGGAGCTGGTGCAGAGCCAGGCGCGGCCCGGGAGCCAGGCGTGGGCAGGAGGCGGCCGGGTGGTGGCCACGGAGCTCACAGGCCTCCTTGTGCCATGCCAGGGCTCACGCTCCAGGGTGGGCGGGCAGGGTCCTGCAAGGCCCAGGGGGTGAGTGTGTCCAGGTTTGAGGACCCTGCTGTCTGCCGCCACGTCACTGAGCCCGAGCAGCACAGACTGTGTAGACGGGTGGCAGGTTATCAGTAAAATTATGGATGTTGAAATGTCAAGTTCAATACAATTGTTTTATGTCCCTAAGTATTCTTCTTTTGATTTTTTCCAACCATTTACAAATGTGAAAACTGTTCTCAGCTGGCAGACTGCACGCAGGCACAGGGTGCGGGGGCGGGGGGCGCGGTGTGGAGTCTGGCGTCTGCAGACCCTTGGCTTCGGACAGCAGCCCAGTGGACATGCTGGGCATGCTTTCACCATGAAATTGACAATTGAAATAAGATGGCTTGGCACAATGACCAGCACGTTAAATATAGTGAAATGCTGAATTAAACGGAGAAGGCAATGGCACCCCACTCCAGTACTCTTGCCTGGAAAATCCCATGGACGGAGGAGTCTGGTAGGCTGTAGTCCACGGGGTCGCTAAGAGCTGGATACAACTAAGCGACTTCACTTTCACTTTTCACTTTCCTGCATTGGAGAAGGAAATGGCAACCCACTCCAGTGTTTTTGCCTGCAGAATCCCAGGGACAGGGGAGCCTGGTAGGCTGCCATCTATGGGGTCTCACAGAATTGGACACGACTGAAGCGATTTAGTAGCAGCAGCTGAATTAAATGGGAAAGAATGGAAAGATTGGGATTGTTCATATCAGGGACACAAAAAACCCACTGAAGCTATTCTATTTGCAAAGCATGTTGAATTAATTTCAAACAGTGAGAAGATGCTTTTGTCGCTTGTAAAACACATCTTTAACAGCAAGCCTCGTTAAGCCCTTCCCTGTGTGTCTCGTGGGCAGCACGCCTCGTGGCTCGTGAGGGCTGCCTTGTCACAGGCTCTTTTGTCGTACTTCCCTGGTGTCCGACCCTCATGCAGCCCTTGTGAGCACTTCGGACAGGTGATGGCCGCAGCTGCTGGGGCACGGCCATGCCAGGGAGCCAGGGTCTGCAGCCCTCAGTGATGGCACTACCAAGGGGAGGGCCAGGGCTCACGTCCAGACTCTCCTCTCAAAGATACTGCTTTTGTTTCCACATCGCTGTGCAGGTGGTCATTTGGAAGAACTGTATTTTTAAATTTCATTTTAAGTCACTTGGAACATGGAACTTTTTGAAGAAGGAAGCCACTGATAGGTTTACAGTTATCCACAGATGACCATTTCACGGTCTCCAAGTGTATTCCTCCCCCATCCACTGGTGACCATAACTTTGTGTTTGTTCTGTTATTTATTTATTTTTTAGTTCTGCCACTCTATTGCTACCAACCCATCTCCCTCCACCCTCGTGCACACACGCTCAGTCATGTAATCCCATGGACTGCAGCCCGCCAGGCTCCTCTGTCCATGGATTTTTCCAGGCAAGAATACTGGAGTGGGTTGCCAGTGTTTGTTCTTCTACATTCGTGATTTTAGTTCTATTTTGTAAGTCCATTTGTACCACTCTTTTTAGGGTCTGCATTATAAGCAATATCATATATTTGCCTTTGATTTGCTTTACTCAGTATGAACTCTCTAGGTCCATCTGTGTTGCTGCAAGTGGCGTTATTTTCTTTTTGTGGCTGAGTAATATTCCTTTGTACCACATCTTTATCCATTCATCTGTCGACGGATGTCTAGGTGGCTTCCATGTCCTGGCTATTGTAAATAGTGCTGCAATGAATGCTGGGGTGCATGTGTCTTTCTGAATTATAGGGCTTCCCTGGTAGCTCAGCTGGTAAAGAATGTGCCTCAGTGCAGGAGACCCCGGTTCGATCCCTGGGTTGGGAAGATGCCCTGGAAAGGGAAAGGCTACGCACTCCAGTGTTCTTGGGCTTCCCTGTGGCTCAGCTGGTAAGGAATTATGGTACTACAGCTATGCGCCCAGGAGTGGGATTGCCAGATCATATGGTAGTTCTGTTTTTAGATTTCGAAGGACTCTCCAGACTGTTCTCCACAGTGGCTGTCCCTGTCGCTGCCTCATGTCTCGCTTCAGCAGACATGCAGTTACTGTCATTGCGGGGGAGACATCTCCGTTTCTGTCCCAGTCTCAGCGAGGACCAGGTGTGGGACCAGCCGGGCCTGCACAGCTGAGGAGCACAGGCTGGGGCAGTCCGTCCACACTGCCTGTTCCGTGGCCGGTCAGACCTGAGCCCGTGGCGTGGAGGGGGGAGAGATGGCCTCCACACACGCCCGTGGCCGGTGAGGCTTGGGCGGGCAAGACTGTGTCTCAGCCAGGGCTGGTTCTTACGAGCCTCTTTCAACCCCTGTTTGAGTTTAGCTTCTGTTTGAAGATAAATGGAAACACCAGAGAGGCGTAGGGGCCTTTTCAAAGCAGGGCCAAGGCAGCAGTGACCACTCCTGTCCTCCTGTCTCCAGCTCTCCTCAGCGTCCAGCTTGTCTCACTGCTTCCTCCGGGAGATGGGCTGGCAGGGTGATGGGGTGGGGGTTGTGTGTCGCGTGAGGGCTCCCTCCCCGCCCAGCCAGTCCTCCGACTCCAGGGCGCACATTCTGTGGACTCACCTTGCTGGCAGCCCCCTGGTGGGCGCTCCCCGCCCAGACGCCCCTCGGCCACACCCCGTCCTCAGGAACGTGAACCTTGGACGCAGGGGCCCTGAGCGGACGCTGCTCCTAACTGGTCCCTCTCTCCAGGTATCTGCACCGCCAGCCTGGAGGCTGTGACCTTGAGCTGACCCCGAGGTACCATGTCAAGTAGCTGCGCTTTGATGTGTGTCCTGTGGCCGCTTAGGAAGCCACGTCCACCCCGAGTCCTCTCGGTCCCAGCACCGGAAGGCAGCTTCTCCGCCCTTAGGCCTCTGCCCGCGTGCACCCCGACCTCCCTTCTGAACGTAGCCCCGTGTTGAAAGCGTCTGTTCCTCGCTGGCTGGGTGTGAGCGCCGCTGACGCGCGTGTGCTGCGTGGCGGCCTCGAGTCTGGCGTCGGGCGCCGTCTGGGGGCTGGAGGCGGAGGCAGGGACCCGGCTGCCCACAGCCCCCGCGCCCGGCGGGCCGGCTCTGAGGCCCTGTCTCCCGCAGGCTGAACTGGAGCGGCCTCGGCGCCTCGTTGTTGTGGCGCCGGCACCTAGGGCTGCGGGCCGATGGCCAGAACTTCAAGCTGGAGAACTCGGCCTTCTGGATCTTCGGGGGCTCCATCCACTACTTCCGGGTGCCCCGGGCCTACTGGAGGGACCGGCTCCTGAAGCTGCGGGCCTGCGGCCTCAACACGCTGACCACGTGAGCGCCGCCCCGCGCCCCGCGCCCCGCGCCCCTCACCTGGCCCGCCCCCCCATGGGTGTAAGGGGGAGCAGCCCGGCCCCGCGTGGGTGTAAGGGGGAGCAGCCCGGCCCCGCGTGGGTCTAAGGAAGGAGCACCCCCCCCTTGCCGAGGTGTGTGTGAACTTTCCCAGCACACCTGTCTCCATATCGCTTTCTGGAATCATCTTCAGAAGCTGCGGCTTCCCTCCTGGAACAAGCGTAGGGTCAGCCGGTGGTGGCCACCCGCCTCTGTGCTGATCTGGGAATCAGTTACCACATGGGCTCAGTTGGGAAAAAAAATCTTGATCATTTTGTGGATGTCTTTTTCAGCATTTCCAACAGATGTTTAGATCCAAGTCTATGAAATCAAGTGCATGATCAGGCTGGGTTATTAAAACTTCAGGCAAAAATGTGTGATTACAAGTCAAGGAGGTGGGTTTTCTTGGTAGTTTATGAACCGATTTTGAAGACAGTTCTAAGAACAGTTACGGGGTGTTCTGAGCCGTGACAGCATCAGTTGGACAAAGCATGTGATTTTCCAGGAAGGTTACCTGGTGGGGTCCACTTACTTCTGGTCCTGGGGGCACATGCTTGTGTTACAGGGCTCCTGACAAGGGCTGAGCATTTTGCCTTATAAGATCAGGAGAATCTGTATGAGCTCTTGAGTCTGAAGTGGAAGCAGGAAGCCACCTGTTCACCTTTGCAATCGGAGACCTTCCCCTAGAGGCTGGTGTGGGTGGCGTCCAGGAGAGGGGCATGCGGGACTCAGAGGCAGCCACTTAAGGAACTTACATTTCCTGATCTCTTTAGGGTAAGAACCTCAGTCCTGTGACAGGGTTTGGGATTCCGAGTATTGCGTTAAGAGCAGTGCTGATGAGCAGAGCTCCTTTTTACCCTACTTTTGTTGCCGACCAGGGTTCTAGGACTCTGATCAACAGGCACTGACCAGAGGCCAGAGGAGGGTCTGCCAGAGGCAGGAGAGGGTGTACCCGAGGGGAGCAAGAGCAGTAACTGGGGCTCCTCCCAGGGGTGGGGGCGGGTCTGGAGGGGCTGGCGTGGGGATTAGGTGGTCCCTCCACTTGGTGGTGCTGCGTGGAGGGGTCCTGCATGGACCCTGCTTTCGCCCCCGGCACCTCGGAAATGGCAGCTGGGTTCTGGGTCTTTCTGTGTCTTGGCTGTCGTTTGCCCTGCGTGCATGCGGTTGTATTTAGTCTCATAGCTTCTCTGTATTTTGTTGCTGGAGGTGTTTGTCCAGGTGCAGGCAATGCAGCAAGGGTTCCAGGTCCTAGCCTGCCTCACTTTTAACTGCTTTGCCCATAAAGTTACTTCTTTCTCTTGTGAAGAGAGAGGATGATGGAGAAGGGGGAGGGAGGGATGCCCCCAGATCTTTTGGCCCCCTGCCCTTCTCCCAGCAGGTGGGGGGGAGGGGCTTGCCCTGCTTCTGTGAGCTCATCGGTCTCTCCAGTTTTTCTCCATTCCAGCCCTGCATGTGAGAAACCGTCTTCAGCCTCATGGGGGTTTTAGGGACAGAGATGCTGGTCTGGGAGACAGAGTGGAGAACCACTGGAGGCCTCACACCTGTCACCCTCTTCCCTGCCACAGCTACGTTCCGTGGAACCTCCACGAGCCGCAGAGAGGCACATTCGACTTCTCCGGGAACCTGGACCTGGAGTAGGTTCTATGACCCGGCCGGGCGGGGCGGGGGCCTGAGGGGTGGGGACCCACGGGGCATCCTGGGCAGAGAGGACCGCAGGGTGGTGGTGTCCTGCCCTCAGCGTCCCCAGCCCCCTGGGGAGGGCCGGGTGGGCGAGGGGAGGGGGCGCTGGGCTCCGAGCCCTGAGAATCGGTGACCCTGATCCCCAGGGCCTTCATCCTGCTGGCGGCGGAGGTGGGGCTGTGGGTGATCCTGCGTCCAGGCCCCTACATCTGCAGTGAGATGGACCTCGGGGGCCTGCCCAGGTGAGCGGGGCTGTGCCTCGGCGGTGGCTGGGGGTGCCCTGTGCGCTTCTGTGAGCGCTGAGCACCCCATGGGCCTGATGCTGCCTACGTGTACGTTTCACCCTGTGCAGAGGTTCTTTTTCAGAATAAGTGGCCCCCAAAGGGCAGCCTTGTCAGCGACGTCACAGTTACTGTCCCCGTCAGAGCCCATGTGGCTCCACGCCGCAGGGCCGGGAGGCTGGTCTCAGGCGCCGGGCCCTGCTGCAGGGCTCGGCCTCGGTCCGGTCCTGCCCGCTCCAGACGGGCCTTGCTTTCTGAAAAACGGGAGAAGTCAAACCCACTCTCCTGTTCCTTAGATGTGCTACAAAGCATTTTTTTTTAGGGGCGAGCATTTTGATAGAGGAGAAACACGCTGTTTTAGTTTTATCTTTTGCCTTCAGATCTCAGGCCCCGATGAGCTATCTTGGGATGGGGTCTCCACAGGAGTCAGAACCCTGCCTGTGGTTGGCTCAGGAGTCGGGCAGGATTACCTAGCGCCAGGGCCAGCCCTGGTCCCAGGTGTTATTACCACTAGTAGTATTCCAGCAGAAGGGTTTCCTGTTGACCGGGTCCCACGCTCCCGGTTCTAGCTGCTAGCTCCCTCCCCCGGTCTGCGGGGGGGGCAGGCTGGTCCTGTGTGCCGCCTTCTGCTCTGTGAAGGCCTCACTCTCATCCTCGGGCGATGGGGCCTGCCCCACTGCCCAGACCCTCTGTCGCTGGCCTTCAGCTCGGCGAGGGGCCTTGAGGCTCACACAGCCAGGGCAGCCTCGCCCCTCCTCCCTGCGGGTCAGAAGCCCTGTGTCAGCAGCGCCTTGATTAAGTCTGAGCTCTGAAGCCCTCAGGCCTCCCTGCACCCTCGGCCCAGGTCCTGGGGGGGCATTCCTGGGAGGCGGAGCTGGGCGTGCTGCAAGCGGAGTCCCAGTGGGGGCCAGAGACTAGAGCTTTCCCGGCGAAGGACTCAGGCGTCTGGCCCCAGGGGGCTGTCTCTCCACGGTCACCCAGTGACCTGACCTGCAGTCATGGCTTTCTCAGCCTGTACTTCTTCTGGACCAGGATGCGAGGAGCACTGGGGCCTTTTGCAGGAAAACATGAATGTTCCTCAGAATCTGTATAAGGAAAACACCTTGGCTGTAGTTCTGAAAGTGGTGCTCCGTGCTTACCGGCTGGGTGAACACCACAGGCAGGCCAGCACAGGGTTAACCTTCTTTGTCTCCAGCTCCCCCTCCCTCTCCCCTCCCCCTCCCCCCACACCCCAGGCCGAGCTCTGGATGCTGAGGACCCCGAGCAGATGGGCACCAGCCGGATTAGAAAGGGGAGGCCAGACTCCTTCTCTCGGTCCCCAGGCTGCCTTTTCTGCTGACAGCAGAAGGCGATGCCTTGTCCTCCAGTCTCAGGGATCCCCGACCCCTTTGTCTTCGCCCCTCTCTGATAAGATGTTGTGTAAAGTCTTGAGACATGGGCCTTGGCTTCAATGAAAAGCTTTGGTCCCTCTGACCGGCAGCCAGACCGCTGGCCCTGACTCAGAACTAGAATGGCCCGCGGTGCTGGGTCCTCGGGGGAAAGCAGGTTCTGGCCTGTGCCAGCGTCTGCCCTGCGTCCTGACTGGCCTCCAGGATCACCCCTGGGCTCCCTTAAGCTGCTCCTTTTCAGCCATCATCCTGCTCAGAGCAAACCCCCAGACGGTGAAACTAATCACCCTCCCCTTTTCATTCAAGCTGGTTACTCCGAGACCCTGACATGAGGCTGAGAACAACTTACAAGGGCTTCACGGAAGCAGTGGACCTTTATTTTGACCACCTGATGCTCAGGGTGGTGCCGCTCCAGGTAAAAGAGCAGATTGGGCCTGCCCTCCGCGCCCCCAACTGGTTCCGCAGCTGGGTCAGGCTCTTAGCCCGGCGGGGCTCACGGCGCTTCCCGTGGCCGCCGCCCTCCTCCGCTGAAGCCTGCCTGGTGCCGCGCTGCCTTGCGGGGGAAGCTCCAAAGGCCGGCGGTGTGCAGGCGGGCGCAGGGATGCGGGCCGGGCGCTGGGTGGCGGCTCGCTGGGCCTGTCGGTCCGGACTCGCAGCGCAGGGTCCAGTTGTGCTGGAGAGACGCCCCTGGGACAGCCCCTCGCCTGTGAGGAGGGGGCCTTCTCCTTATAGAGTCTCCACTGATGACGTCCTGAGTCCATCCTCTGGCTCCCAAAAGGGTGCAAGTTTATCGTTCAAAACATACGTCTTCAAATGAAGCTGGGGGAGAAAGTGTCTTAAGTGGCATCTAATAATTGGAAGCAATGAAAAAGCAGGAATGCAAATAAACTCAGTTGCTTCTGTAAGAGAACTGCGACACTGAGAAATTAGTACAGTTAAAAAAATTAGTTCATTGATAAAAGCGGCTGAGAGTCAGTGGTTTGGGATATTCACAGCACACAGATCAAAGGAACTGTTGGTTCTTTGTAGGGTGGGCAAATAACACACAGGATACCCCCATTACATGTGAACTTCAGATAAACAAGGAATACATTTCTTAAGTATACACATGTCCTAAATATTGCTTGGGACAGTTACATTAAAAAATTCATTGCTTATTTAAAAATTATTTGTTGTAAATTCAAGCAGTATAACTGGATGTCTTGTATTTTTACTCACTAAATCTGGCAGCCTCAGTCATGAAAGAGGCAAGAAGCTAGGAAAATTCTTAGTCTAGATTTTTGCAAGGAAGATGGGCTTGCCAAGACGATTCAGTAAGCTGTCCTAGGCTGGGCGGCGGAGGTAGGGTGGGGCTGAGGGCCCAGGGGGTGGCTGTGCTAGGGATGTGACCCAGAATCCTTAGGCACAGGAAGGTCACACCTAATCCAGGACAGCTTTTTCTGGGTGCGGTGCTCAGGCACTCAGTCGTGTCGGACTCCATGCAGCACCAAGGACAGTGGCCGCCAGGCTCCTCTGTCCCTGGGGTTCTCTAGGCAAGAGTGCTGGAGTGGGTTGCCATGCCCTCCTCCAGGGGGTCACAGATAGCTGTCTCAGTCCACTTTCACTTCTGTTGGATATATACCCAGAAAAGTGGTATTGCTGGGTCACATGGCTTTTCTGTGTTTAAGATTTTGAGGAAAAGTTAAGTGTTCCACAACACACTGTTTTACATTCTCATGAACAATACACAGAATTCCAATTTCTTGAACCCGGGCCCACAGTTGCTGTTTTCTGTCTGTTTCATAAAAGCCATCCTAGTGGATGTAAAGTGGTATCTCACTGTGGTTTTGATTTGAATTACTTAATAATTAATGATGTGGAGTATTTTTTCATGTCCTTACTGGCCATTTATATATCTTCCTTGGAGAAATATTTATTCCAATTCTTTGCCCATTTTTTAATTGGTCTGTGTGTTTTTGTGGTTGTAGGAGTTCTTTCTTCAGTATCTATCAGTATCTTATCAAATGTATGACTTATAAATATCTTCTCTCGCTCTGAGGGTGTTTACTGGTAAGTCCAGTGCATCTTGTTTTCTCCTTTGGTGCCCGTGCTTTAGGTCAATCATTGCCAAATCCAGTTTCATGACATTTCTCCCCTGTGTCATCTTCTGAGAGTTTCATAATGTTGCTCTTACATTCTGGTTTATGATCTCCTTTGAGTTACGTTTTTCAGATGGTATGTATAACGTAAGGGTACAGCTTTGTTTGTGCATGTGCATATCCAGTTTTCTTGCCATCATTTGCTAAAAAAAATGAGTGACCTTTCCCCATTGAATGGTTTTGCCTCCCTTGGAGAAAATCCTTTTGACCATATGTGTGAGTTTATTTCTGGGCTCTCTATTCTATTCCATCGGTCTATATATTTGTCTTGAGGCCAGGACTGCACTATTTTGATTACCGTAGCTGTGTGGTAAGTTTTGAAGTCAGAAAGTGTGAGACCTCTAACTTTGTTCTTTTTTTCCAGCATTGTTTTGGATATTCAGAGTCTCTTGAGATTCCATGTGGATTTTACGATGCCTTTTTCTGCTTGTTTAAAAACACTGGTGTTTTGACAAGGAATACATTGACTTTGTAGATTGCTGGGTGGGGCTGAGGGCCCAGGGGGTGGCTGTGCTAGGGATGTGACCCAGAATCCTTAGGCACAGGAAGGTCACACCTAATCCAGGACAGCTTTTTCTGGGTGCGGTGCTCAGGCACTCAGTCGTGTCGCACTCCATGCGGCACCACGGACAGTGGCCTGCCAGGCTCCTCTGTCCCTGGGGTTCTCTAGGCAAGAGTGCTGGAGTGGGTTGCCATGCCCTCCTCCAGGGGGTCACAGATAGCTGTCTCAGTCCACTTTCACTTCTGTTGGATATATACCCAGAAGTGGTATTGCTGGGTCACATGGCTTTTCTGTGTTTAAGATTTTGAGGAAAAGTTAAGTGTTCCACAACACACTGTTTTACATTCTCATGAACAATACACAGAATTCCAATTTCTTGAACCCGGGCCCACAGTTGCTGTTTTCTGTCTGTTTCATAAAAGCCATCCTAATGGATGTAAAGTGGTATCTCACTGTGGTTTTGATTTGAATTACTTAATAATTAATGATGTGGAGTATTTTTTCATGTCCTTACTGGCCATTTATATATCTTCCTTGGAGAAATATTTATTCCAATTCTTTGCCCATTTTTTAATTGGTCTGTGTGTTTTTGTGGTTGTAGGAGTTCTTTCTTCAGTATCTATCAGTATCTTATCAAATGTATGACTTGTAAATATCTTCTCTCGCTCTGAGGGTGTTTACTGGTAAGTCCAGTGCATCTTGTTTTCTCCTTTGGTGCCCGTGCTTTAGGTCAATCATTGCCAAATCCAGTTTCATGACATTTCTCCCCTGTGTCATCTTCTGAGAGTTTCATAATGTTGCTCTTACATTCTGGTTTATGATCTCCTTTGAGTTACGTTTTTCAGATGGTATGTATAACGTAAGGGTACAGCTTTGTTTTGTGCATGTGCATATCCAGTTTTCTTGCCATCATTTGCTAAAAAAAATGAGTGACCTTTCCCCATTGAATGGTTTTGCCTCCCTTGGAGAAAATCCTTTTGACCATATGTGTGAGTTTATTTCTGGGCTCTCTATTCTATTCCATCGGTCTATATATTTGTCTTGAGGCCAGGACTGCACTATTTTGATTACCGTAGCTGTGTGGTAAGTTTTGAAGTCAGAAAGTGTGAGACCTCTAACTTTGTTCTTTTTTTCCAGCATTGTTTTGGATATTCAGAGTCTCTTGAGATTCCATGTGGATTTTACGATGCCTTTTTCTGCTTGTTTAAAAACACTGGTGTTTTGACAAGGAATACATTGACTTTGTAGATTGCTTTGAGTAGTAATGACATCTTAATAATATTAAATCTTTCAGTCTATGAACACAGGATACCTTTCCATTTATTGGTGTCTTCTTTCTTCTGGCAACATTTTGTAGGTTTCAATGTATAAGTATTTTGCCTCCTTGATTAAATTTCTTCCTAAATATTTAAATCTTTATGATGCTATTGTATGTAGAATTTGTCACTGATCGTGCGTAGAAACCATTGAATTCTTTGTGCATTGGTTTTTGTATCCTGCGGATTTGCTGTATTTGTTTATTAGAACTAACAGGTTTGCTTGTGTATATAATCTTCACGGTTTTCTACTCATAAGATCATATTGTCTGCAAACAAGAGATAATTTTGCATCTTCCTTTCCAACTTGGATGACTTATTTCATTCTTTTTTTCCTAATTACTCTAGCTAACACTCTATACCTTGTTGAATAGAAGTGGTAAAAGCAGGAATCTTGTCTCAGTCTTAATCTCAAAGGAAAAGCTTTCAGTGAGTATGAGGCTGGCTGTGGGCTATTCACATATGGCCTTTTTAAAGGTGAGATAGTTTTCTTATATTAGTAATTTGTTGAGTTTTTTTATTATGAAATCATGCTGAATTTTTGAATGCTTTTTTACAACATCATTTGAGATAATCATGTTTTTTTAACCTTCATTTCATTAATGTGGTGTATAACATTGATTTTATTGAACCATCCTTATATTCAAGAATAAACCCCACATTTTCATGGTGTATAATCTTTTTAGTATGCTGCTGAATTTGTTTTTTTTAGTATTATGCTTAAGATTTTTTGCATCAATATTCATGAGGGATATTGGTCTGTAGTTCTCTTTACCTGTTAACTCTTTTTCTGGCTTTGGTAATACTGGCCTCATAGAGTAAATTTGGAAGTGTTCCCTTTTTTCAAAATGTTTAGAATTTGAGAAAGATTGGTGTCACTTTCCTCACTAGTTATAAATCTGTCCAGATGTTTCTTTTTTCACAATTCAGTCTTGGCATGTTGTGTGTTTCTAGTTGAGTCTTTTGTTACTCTAACTAGCGGTTTGTCAGTTTTGTTAATCTTTTCAGAGAATCAAGAAAAGATTGGTTGATTTTTCCCTATTGTTTTTCTAATCTTCTATTTCCCCTGCTTTCATATTTCTTATTTCCTTCCCTCTGTTACCTTTGAGTTTAGTTTCTTCTTTTCCAGTTGCTTAAGGTGAAAAGGTAGGTTGTTGACTTGAGATCTTTCTTCTTTTTTTAAGTGTTTATAGTGCTTTCATTGTATCCCACAAGTTTGTATGTTGTGTTTTTATTTTGTCTCAAGATATTCTCTAGGTTTCCTGAGATTTCTTCAAGTCACGGATTTCTTCAGTCTTGTGAATTTTCCAGTTTCCTTTTTGTTGTTGGGTTCTACTTTCATCTTTTCTGTAATTGGAAATGATACTTTATATGATTTCAACCTTCAATTTTATTAAAACTTGCTTTATGGCCTAACATATGGTTTATCCTGGAGAGTGATCCATGTGCATTTGAGAAAAATGTGTGTTGTGCTGTTGTTGGGTGGAGTGTTCTGGATACACTTGTCAGGTCTAACTTGTCTGTGGTGTTCAAGTCTTCTGTGTCCTTCCTGGTCTTCTGTCTGGTTATCCTATTGAAAATGGAGTACTGAAGTCTTCTACTGTTTTTATAGAGTTGCATTTCTCCCTTTAATTCTGCCAGTATTCACTTTGGCGCTCTGGTGTTTGGTGCACATATGTTTATGTTGTATCTTCTAAACTGGCCCTTTTATTGTTGTGCAAATATGAATATCTATACACCTGTGTACATTAAATAATGTCTTTCTTTTCCCTTCTAACAATTTATGACTTAAAGTCCAGTTTGTTTGTTACTATAGTCACACCCTGGTCTCTTTTGGTTACTATTCACACAGAATATCTTTTTCCATACTTTTGTCTTTCAACCCATGTAGGTCCATAGATCTAACATGAGAGTCTTGTAGACAGCCTGTAGTTAGGTATTGCTTTTTTATGCATTCTGAAAATCTGTCTTTTGGTTGGGGAGTTTAATCCATTTATATTTAAATATAGGGATGCACTTACTTTTGTTTTTTTATTATTTGTTTACTGTATGTCTTATAGCTTTCTGCTCCCTTATTTCCTTCATTACAGCCTTCCTTTGTATTTAGTTGATTTTTTTTTTTTGCAGCAGATTTTACTAGTTGAATTTTTTAAGTGACAAGTTTTGATTCTTTTTATTTCCTTTTGTGTATATTCTACAGATATTTTGGTTACCATGGAGATTACATACACTGTCCTAAAGTTATGACATTCTATTTTATATTAATACCATCTTAACTTCAATCACATACAAAAACTCCTACTTTTTTACAGCTCCATCCCCTTTATATTATTGCTATCACAAATTGTATTTTTATATATTGTGTACCAATTAATATAGACCCGTAATTATTTTTATATACTTGTCTTTTAAATCCTGTAAAGAATAAGAAATGGAGTTACAAACTAAAATTATAATAATACTGTTTTTTACATTTTTTCACATATTTACCTTTCCCAGGGAAGTTTTTTTTTTTTCCCCAGGGAGGTTTATATTCTCAGCTGGCTTTGAGTTTTCATCTAGCATCCTTTCATTTCAACTTGAGGGACTCTGTGTAGCATTTCCTATAAGACAAGTCTAGTGGTAATATATTCTTTCAGCTTTTATTTGTCTGACAGTGTCTTAATTTCTCCATTATTTTTGAAGGACAGTTTTGCCAGATGGAAAAATCTCACTTGCTAGTTTTTTTCCTTCAGTACTTTGAATATAGTATCCTACTGCCTCTGTCCTGCAAAATTTCTGATGAGATATCCACTGGTAATCTCACTGGGGATGGTGAGCAGACATTCAGCCCACACTAAAAGGTCTTGGATGTTTGGTCTTATCCAAGCTATTTAGTGTGGGGCAAATAGGCTCATGGACATTTGGGGTAAAACTAGATTTCAAGGACCTTTGGGCATGAACTGAATGTCATATGAACCAAATGTCTTATGGACTGAATGCCTTGTGGATGCTTTGGACCAAATGTTCTGCAAGGTTGGGAATCCTTTGTACATGTCAAGTTGTGTTTCTTTTGATCCTTTCAAGAATCTCTGTCTTCTGACAGTTTGATAATATGTATTGGTGTGGGTCTCTGGTTTAATGTTACTTGGATTTCACTGAAGCTTGGATCTCTGCCCCTTTCTTCTCCTTTTGGACTTCCTATAGTGAGTGTATTTGTCTGTTTACTGATTTGCATAAAGTCTCTTAGGATCTGTTCACTTGTCTTTATTCTTTTTTCTTTTTGCTTCTCAGACTCAATAATTCAAAATGACCTGTCATCAAGTTTGCACACTCTTTCTTCTGCCTGTTTGAATATGCGGTTGAACTCCTATGGTGAATTTTTCTGTTTAGATAATGTACTTTTCAGCTCCAGAATTTCTGCTTGGTTCTTTTTGAAATCATTTCTGTCTCTTTATTAGTATTCTCACTTTGTCCATATGTCCTTTCCTTGATTTCTGTCCATGTTTTTCTTTAGCTCTTTGATCATATTTATGACAGTTGTTTTAAAATTCTTTGTCTTCTAAGTTCAGTGTGTGTGTTTCTTTAGAGGTCATTTCTAGTTCCTTTAGACACTGTTTCTAGAGATTTATTTTGTTCTTTGAATGAGTTACATTTTCCTGTTTCTTTATATGCCTTATTTTGGAGGGTTAAAGTTAGGCATTTATAAAGACAGTCCCCTCTCTCAGTGTTTGCAGTCTTCTGGAAAGACCTTTAGTATTTAGTGGGCTCCTGAGCCTTGAGATCAGCCTGGGATGCAGGTCTGAGATCTTCTCAGGTATTTTCTTGGTATGTATCCTGTCTGGTTTGTGTGTGTGCTTTTTAAAAAAAAAAAAAAAAATTCCCCTAGCTGCTTTTACATGTTGATTTCTCCAAGAGTCTCACCCGGGATTCTTCTTATGGTCTTAGATATTCTATCATATTCCTCTGCCTGCAATCCCTTGCTCCCGGGCATCCATGGGTCTGTAGTCCCCCTGATATGTTTACAGGCTGTGACCCATTGCTGCCTTTTGCAGCTTCCAGCATGAGGTCCAAACCATACCAACATTTTTTGTCTGATCTCCAAGTCAGATGAGACAGAAACTAGTTCTCTGGGGAGCCCACAAATAGCCCTTCTGTCCTGAAGGAGGGGCTGGAACTCAGGCTGTGTCCTTCTGACTGCACCTTGCTACTCCAGGGAGTGGGTGGGACACAGGTGAGCAAAATCATGGAATGTGCCACCGTTTTGAATGTCTTTTTCTTGATTGGATGTTCCCTTGTTTGCTTAAACATTTGGCTTGTTTCCAGAGATCCTATAAAGTTACTTTAGTCAGTGGTACAGTTGTTTTCCTGTTGTTTCCCTAGGGGGACAAAGGCCTGGAGCTTCCTTCTCCCTGTCTCACTGATGTCACTCAACTGTGTATCAGACCTTTTGAGACTTGAACTTCTGAAGGGATGTTCTGCTGTCACTGGTGCTAAGCGTGGTGACATTAGCTGGCACGGTTCCCGCTACAGCCTCAGCTTCTGATTGCTCTCTTGTTTTCTCAGTACAAGCATGGAGGACCCATCATCGCTGTGCAGGTGGAGAATGAGTATGGGTCCTACAACAAAGACCCCGCCTACATGCCTTACATCAAGAAGGTAAGAGTCAGCTCAGCTCACCTCTGCGCCTTCCCTCTGTGGGCTCTGCTGCAATGGATGGGCCTGTCACCCAGCACTGTTTACTAAGCGGTAAATCCTTTCTCAGACCTTGATTGCAACAAGGTCTTCACTTGTGCCCTCCATTGACTGAGTTTAACAGGGATTTCAGTACATATGGTGCTGCGGGGGTTGAGAGTAACAGAACTGCCTTGACTGAGGGCATGGCTGGAGGCCTTCCTGGTGGCGGCGGCTGCTGATCTGACTCCAGCACTCAAAGCAGCGGCCCCTCCTCTGGCCGCATGTTGGCTCCCTCTGGGGATTGTTTAAACTCACTGTGCCCAGGCCATATGCCATCCGTTAACCAAGGGCCTCTGGGGTGGAGCTCAGACATCCGATTCCAGCGAGCAGGTGGCTGGAGCCCCTGGCCAAGTGTGTGGCAGAGCAGGCAGGGGCAGGGCCAGAGCGACACTGAAAAGAACAGGTGTGCTGCAGTCCACGGGGTTGCAAAGCCTCGGCTGCAACGAGTGACTGAACAACAGCTGCTCAGAACTGGCTCCTCCCACTCGGCAGCTGAGACCTGGAGCAGATGCACCCATTTTTCTAAGCCCCTACTCTCTCTTCTGTGAATTGGGATTGATGAGAGGCTTTGCCTGTCCGAACTGTATGTGTAGTCAAGTCGCAGGCTCAGTGTTGCTCTAGCATCCAGTGAACAGTCAGCACACAGGACACTGATGACATCACTGGCACCAGCGCTTTGTACTTGGGAGGGTCGGCCCCCGTGTGCGTCGAGAAAGCCTCAGTGCCTCCAACTGATCTGATGAGAGCTGCTCCGGCCCCTGGTGTCCTGGGCGACACCCCTGCTGTCACAGGCAGAGTCGTGTCCATCTGGGGACTCCTCCAGTCCCTGCAGACGCTTGGAGGGTCTCACCCAGTGTCCCCTCCTCCTCCGCAGAGGGGCCAGGCTGCCTCAGGGAGGATGGTGTCCTTGAAGCCAGATGCGAGCTCAGTCCTTGTCTGGGGCAGGCTCAGGCCAGCAGGGTCTTCTGCCACAGCGCCTCCTTGAGACCCCCTGGGCCAGAGTCACGATGCCTGTTCTCCTGTGCTGGTGAGGCTGGGCCAGGCTTCCCCAGTCCCCCGGCTGCAGGGAAGAAGCTGCCCTGCTGTCTCTCCTATCCTTTGGTGACCCTGGTGTCTGGGATGGGGTGCATAAAGGGATGCTTGCCTGGTCCTGAAGCCCAGGGGAGGCTGGGCTCCTGGGACGCTCATTTCTCTGGGCCCCAGGGCCTGCTCTAGGCGGAGATCAGAGTGTGACATGGTGGGAGGTGTGAGGAAGGACAGCCTGTTGTCTGACCCCCTCGCAGGCCCTGCAGGACCGGGGGATCGTGGAGCTGCTCCTGACCTCAGACAACCAGGACGGCCTGAAGAATGGCATTGTGGACGGAGGTACCTGCCAGGAGGCCGTGGGGAGGTCGGGGGGCGGTGTCGCCCTGACCTGAGCTCTTGTGTGCTCCGGGCTGGAGGGGCCGACTGGTGGAGCACCGGGGACACCCAGGGCCCTGTGGATGGCAGGACACGGGACAGCAAGGTGGGCGTTCAGCAGGGTCCACAGAGAGGCCAGGCAGACCACCGGCTGGTGTCCGGCAGGGACAGCTGGCTCACAGCTCGGTCCTCAGGCCCTGTGGGCACCCCCTCTCGTGGTGCTGGGTTCCCGCCAGCCGCTCCCACTGGAGCAGAGGATTTCGCCCCGTCTCCCTGCGCCGCGCCCTCCTGGGAGCCCGGCCTGTCACCTCTTGGGCGGCAGTCTCTGCTGGCGCTGCGCTCCTCGCGTCCACGCTCACGGCTCCCAGCGCCTCTGCTCGCCCGAGGGCCATGGTCCTCTCTCCCCGACGCTGCCCTTTGCAAGGCCGCAGTGGCCCCTCGTGACACGTGCGGTGCCCGCAGCCTCCGACCCGGTACAGTGGGCCTCTTCTCTCNCCCACTCTAGTGTTCTTGCCTGGTGAATCCCAGGGACGGGGGAGCCTGGTGGGCAGACGTCTATGGGGTCACACAGAGTCGGACACGACTGAAGCGACTTAGCTGCAGCAGCGAACATGATTTAGACTTTCACCAGGTGTGAAAGAAATCTTGGAAATGCTTGTGAACTGAGAGGCTATCCTTGACGTTTATACAGAAGCGCGTGTGAATAGGCAGTGAGCGGGAACCTCCGTGCAGCACAGAGCTCTTCTGGGTGCTCGGTGATGAACTAGGGGTGGGTGGGCGGCGGCGGGAGGCCCAGAGGGTGGGGCATGTGTATACCCACAGCTGATCCACGCTGTTGTGCAGCAGACACCAGCGACATTGTGGAGCGGTTATCCCCGAACAAAAACTCAAAAACAAAACAATGAAAGAAACACGCGGTGCAGCCTCCGCGGCCCTTGCCCTGAGGTGCCCACTTTGAGCTGTTTACCTTTCCTCTTGACTCTGCCTCCGTGATTCTAAATAACCTGCACAGAGAGCCCTGCAGTGTGGATGTCAAGCCCCCTCTCCTGCCGCCCTGGCCCCGCGGCTTTCCTGGGTGCAGCTGTGCCCCCACCTCTGTCTTGACGTGCACAATGTTCCGGGCCCGAGTAAAGGTCCTCACGCCGGCCGGGCAGCCCATCGGCGTTCTGGACGGTGCTTGTGGCCAGCTCGCTTCCAATGTAACCCATTGGTTTTCCTTTTCTTTCAAATTTTTTTCTGTCCCTTCTCTTCCCTGTCTCTTGACATTGAGCAGCTTCCAAACCCCGTCAGGGTGTTTTAAGACGCCTGTGCCTGTCGGAATCTGATCCAGTCCGATGGCGCTAGCCCCTCACTGTGTCCCCATCCCGATGGTGGCCCAGGTCCCCTGGAGACCGGGTCCGGGGACTTTGAAGTGTTGTCTGTCATTTTCTCCACGTGCTGCTGTGACTTGGGCCCTGTGTCTCTGCGGAGCCCGCCCTCCTCGGCGCGCTGTCAGCTGGACAGAGCAGTCCTGGAGGCGGCTGCTCCCTGCTGTCCGGTGCCACCTCTTCTCTGGTTCCGTCCTCTGTGGGTCCAAGGCATGTGTTCACCCTCTGCGCCGTGTGGCTCTCCAGCTGTCTGTCTTCTCCTTTTCCTTCTACTTTCTGAGCAGTTTCCTCAACCACTTTCTCCTCAACCTTGTATTTCCTGCACCGCGTTTTCCTTGAATGCGTTTCTTTTCTGATGGCCTGCTTGCCAGTGGCTGTGACCAGTGCCCCTCCCTGTGGGGTGACCAGACTGAGGCGGCTGTTCCAATCAGGGGAACCAGGTATGGGTGTTGGGGTTGACTTTCACAGGATTAAGTGACTCTGGAGAGAACTCTCTGGGCCAACACGATGAGAATCTGGGGGCAGGAAGGTGCAGGAGCCATCTTCCGGGCTTCCTCTTCTGCAAGCGCCCAGACCGCTGGGGCTCGGCTTTCCTAGGGGGCCAGGTACGGGGTGGGGGGAGAGGTGGCTGGAGGGGGCCCCTGGGCCTCGGTGGGTCATCACCTCTGCTGTCACAGGCTGGTTATGACACCTCCCCCCCTCCCGCCCCGGGTCCCTTTCCAGGCTCCTCAGGTTTCCCTGAACCATGCCCTCTTCGTCCTCACCCTCCAAGCTATTCTCTGGGCTCTGGAGGGGGGTGGGGGGTGGGGATGGAGAAGGTGCAGGCTGGTTTGACCTGTGGCTCCGAGGTTTCTGGGCCGGTTCAGACTGGCCCCCTGTCGGCCTGGCTCTTCACTTTAGGTGAGGAGAGTCCAGATGTGGGGTCTTCTCCATACCAAGTGGGCCTCCCAGGGTCCCAGCTGATGTTTGCTTTTTAAAAACTTAATTAATTTTTTATTAGAGTTCAGTTGCTCTCCAGTGTTGTCAAGATCTCTGTTTTGGTTTTTGTTTACTCACCACGTGGCCCCTGGGACCTTCCTTCCCCAACCAGGGATGGAAACTGTGCCTCTGCAGGGGACACGCAGTCTTACCCACCATACCTCCAGGGAAGTCCCATGATCACGGCTCACGTTCCACAGGAGACCACCCAGTGAGCATCCACCTTCCTGGGCACAGCAGAGCTCAGGCCAGGGCACGTGAGCTCCTCTGTCCAGGACAGGAAGCAGGCAAGAGCCTCGGAGCCAAATTCTGCGTCCATGCCTGTGGGCCAAACATAGCACATTTTTCTCGGGCATGCTTTTCCCTAGTGGAAAGCCACAGGGCCTATCGCTGGGGATGGATCAGAATACTAACCTTCATCCAAGGTGTAAAAGGGGAGTCTTCTTAGATGGTCACCCAGTGCTGGAGGCTGGAGATGCAAAGTGAATGTCAGACTGCAGGCTCCTGTGAAGGAGGAATTAATGGAAACGCACGCTCAGGTGGTGAAAATTATGTAAATCAAACACAGCTGCTTTGAGAGTGGATCTCTGTAAGGCCTGTGCTGAGTCGTGGAGTTTCCAGGATGAACCAGGAAAGTCTCCTGGCGACAGAGGAACTAAACTCTTGGTTGGCGATGGGAGATGGTGTCAGGATTTGTCTACCCGCTGGTGAGCTGAGACGTCAGGGGCGTTCAGTCCTCCAGGCGAGGGGATGATCTCTGTCCCCTGTCTCCTTCCTGCCCGCAGTGCTGGCCACCATCAACCTCCAGTCACAGTCGGAGCTGCGGCAGCTCACCGCCATTCTGCTGGGCGCACAGGTGCGTGCTCGCTCAGCCTGGGTCAGTGTCAGGGGCTTCAGTGGGCGGGGGACCACGGGGCTCAGCCTTCAGCTCTACCCCCTTTCCCATGTACGGCCCATCCCGCCCCGTGCTGCCTGCCCCTGGGGAGGGGAGCCGGGCGCAGGCAGGTGTGTGGAGGTGGGTTCCTGCCTCTCCACGAGAAAGGCGGCCTTTCTGAAGTCCTGGAACTTGAGGGCTCCGTGGACTCAGCGAGCCCCCAGTGTGCTCCGTGTGGGGAAGATGCTTCCCTGCCTGGGTCTGGCCTTGACCCGCCGGGACTCTCAGGGCCCGGAAAGGCTGTTGTCTGTTGTCTTCAGCTGGCGGGGGGCACGGCCCGTCAGGCCGGCGCGGAGTGAGCCTCACGGGAGATAAGGCTTCAAGGCCGCCCTCGCCTGCCTTACGTGCGGGCCGGCGGGTGTCCTCTCTGAGACCCGCGCCTGGCGGGGCTGCTGGAGGGCTCGCCCCCGGCCCAGAGAAGACGCCGTGGGGTGCTGGGGCACCCGTATCCCAACCGCTGCTATCGAAAGGCAGTGGTGGGGTCCAGAGGCTCAGCCGCTGGAGGCTCGGGGCAGTGGGAAGTCCCCAGGGCCGGCCCCGCCCCGCGCTTCTGTTTGGAGGGAAGGGCAGGGAGGAGGCAGGATGGGGGCGGGGGGAGGGAAGTGTGGAGGGGGGCGCGAGCCCCGCCCGCCCGCCGTCCCACAGCCTGTGCCACGCCTGCTGGCAGGGGTCTGAGGCCACAGGGCCTCTGCCCTCAGGGACACTGAGACCCACTTGGGGAGAGTCCTGGGAGGTACACAGTTGCCCTCAAGGTCGTCCAGGACAAAGACGGTTCTGTGACCCTCAGCTTCTCGTCCCTCTTCTGGGAAGCGGAGGTTGTGCTGGAACCGACTCGTAGGGCCGTTTGAGGGTCAAGTGGGTGATGTTTGGGGAGCACCCAGAACAGGCGTGCTCCCCACGGGCTCCTGTGGACTCACGCCTGGAGAAGTGGCCCGCGCCGGCCAGCCTGCCCGCCGCACCTGCCGCCAACGGCCTTTCGCGCACTGCTCAGCCACGTGTTTTCCTCCAGAAAGGGGCCGTGGACCCAGCCCGGTTCAGATTGGAGGCCCGGTCTGGTGCTCAGGGGTTTCACACGAGCCCCACCGGCCCCGGTCCCTGCCCGGTGACCGGAGGGTGGATGCAGGCATCTCCGGGCGCCTCCCAGGGCTGGGCCGTGTGTGCTGACGGCGCCAGCTGCCTCGTCTCGTATGACTGTCCCAGTAGCTGTGTGACTGGCTGCTGTTCATCTGTTCTCCAGTTCAGGACACAGATTCCAGGACAGAGGCCCCCGGCAGTCAGGTCAGGGCACGCAGGACAGTTAGTTGGTGCTAAGCCAGCCTGAGCCACGGTGACCTGGGCTGTTGGCGGACAGTCCAGCCCTGGCCCTCAGCCTGGGGCCCCTTCCCGCAGGGGAGACTGCTGACCTGTGTGACTAGCGACCCTCGTTAGTGACCCAGACGTGGTACGAATGTCCCCTCGGGAGGTGGGCAGCCCGGAGGAAACCGAGCCCGTGGCCTTTCCCGTGGCGCGGTCGGGACCTTCGCAATGGACCGTGACTCTGCGGTCCCGGATGGGACGGGGATGCTCTGTGCGCAGGGGACGCTGACCGCCAGGCCGGCAGCCGCAGGAGCGCCCCCTGCGGGAGGGAGGAAGGCGCGGGGGGCCGGAAGCTGGGGCAGCTCCCTCGAAGGCCAGCCTGTGGCGGGGGAAGGGCTGGGCGGGCAGAGGCGCCAGCTAACTCCTCCCTTTGGCGCACAGGGCATTCGGCCCAAGATGGTGATGGAGTACTGGACTGGCTGGTTTGACTCGTGGGGCGGCCCCCACTACATTCTGGACTCCTCAGGTGGGTGCTCGGCGGGACCCCGTGCAGGCCTTGTCTAAGTCCTGGCCTCCGACGCAGGACTGAGCTCCAGAGGGGCTGCCGATGGTGTGAGCTGGCTGCGGTGCAGCGCTCTGGGCGTCTGCGCACACGGGCAGCTCCTGAGAGGGTCCAGAGCCCTCTGTCTCAACAGGGGAGGAGCGGTCAGACGCTCCTTTGCAGCCTTTCTAATGGCATGCCCGTCGCTGCCATCCAGCCAACAAAGGACGTGTGTAAAGAGGAGGTAAAAACCCGGAGTCCAGAGCAGACGCTTCCATGTGTAGTGCAGGCATTCTCTGTCTGCACTCTGAGTGCAGGTGGAGGTGTGAGCGGGTGTGGGCGAGTGTGGGCAGGTGGAGGTGTGGGTGGGTGTGGGCAGATGTGAGAGGCCCAGAAGCCCGGCTTCCTGCGCTGTGCGATGTGGACGCCCCCACTGCTCTTGAGGATGCAGAGACACCCCCCTCCTCCATGACCTCGCGTTTTGAAGACCTGGTGCTTCTGGGCTTCGCTGGTGGCTCAGCAGAGAACCTGCCAGGAACACAGGAGGCCCAGAGCCTGTGCTCACAGACGGAGTTGCAGCCAGCCTCCCTGCACAACAGCCGGGCGCACCTGGCATTTCCCAGGGGTGAATCCCCAGCTAGCACTGCTTTCTTCACCTGGGCGTGAGCTTCTCCAGGAAGAGGACTGTCAAAGATGTCCATTCCCCCCAGATTCATCAACGGCCACTGTTATTAATCAATATTGGTAACATTTGCTGTCTGATAGGGGCTCCCCTGTGGCTCAGTGGTAAAGAATCTGCCTGCAGTGCAGGAGACGCGAGTTCAATCGCTGTATCCAGAAAATCCCCTGGAGGGAGGAAATGGCGACCCTCTCCGGTGCTCTTGCCTGGAGAATCCCAGGGACAGAGGAGCCTGGTGGGCTGTAGTTCATGGGTCGCAAAGAGGCAGACGTGACTCAGCGACTAAACAACAGCAGCGCTTTGTTCAGCTCTTTTCCTTCAGCCAGTGCAGGGGTTTAAAACTGTATGTGATGTTCATTAACCGTGCATGTTACTCCTCCACTGATTCTGTGCGTGTGGCGGACTCGTTCTCCAGCCTGGGTGGGCCAGGGGGCAGTCAGACCATGCTTCTAATCAGGTCCCCTCAGAGAGCACCAGGTGAAGTCCCCTGGGGGGGAGTGGGGGCGGGAGGCGCGGCTCTGGCCTCAGCCTTGCCGCAGGCAGACTCGTCTGGGAACTGAAAGCCGCTGAAAGCCGGGCTTTGGACTCAGGGCCTCCAGCCATGGACTGCGGCTGGGTTCAGGGAAGCCACGGGCCAGAGCGGTGAGGGGCCTCCTGGGGGCTCAGGTCTCGTGACCACTTGGCCATGAGATGCCCCTCCCCGCAGAGGTCTTGAACACAGTGTCAGCCATCGTCGAAGCCGGCTCTTCCATCAACCTGTACATGTTCCACGGGGGCACCAACTTCGGCTTCATCGGAGGAGCCATGCACTTCCAGGACTACAAGCCCGACGTCACCAGCTACGGTTCGTATCCCCGACAGGGCACCCACACCACTCCCGGGCACTTCAAGGGCGTCCCTCGGGGTCAGCGGCTGGCACCTCCCACGTGAAGGTGAGGTTTCGTCCAGACCATCATCGAAGCTTCCAGGGTGTAGGAGATCAGTTGGCTAGGGAAGGAAGTGGGGCCCAGGCCAGGAGGGGTGGCCTTTGGGGGGGTAGCCCCTCTCCCTCCTTAGGGCCTAGAGATGGGGTGACCCTGGACCCCCGCCTGCCAAGTGGGGTCTGGACACTTTGGGGCCGTTCACGTGTTCAGTGTGTGTGGCATTCTGACTGACGGCTGGCTCACGTCAAGTGTCTTGCCTGCGGCGTTGCTGGGGCAAGGAGCCCACTGCTGAGCCCGCCTCCTCCCGGGACGTTGTCCTGGGGCCTGACACCCGTGGCCTGTCTGGTATCTTGCAGACTACGACGCGGTACTGACAGAGGCTGGGGACTACACGGCCAAGTACACAAGGCTCCGGGAATTCTTTGGCTCCATGTCAGGTACCTGCACGCTGACCGCTGCTCTGAGACCTCAGAAAATGGGCTTCCTCCCCTTCCCCATCCTCTTACACCTCCCTCCCCTGCACCATCCTCCCCCTGTTCTCCTCCTCCCCATCATTTCTCCTCTCCCCCATCGTCCTCCCCTCCTCCCCCTCCCTATCGTCCTCCGCTCCTACCTGTCCTCCCCCCATTGTCCTCCCCTTCTCCGTCTGTCCTCCCCCTCCTCCACCGTCCTCCCCTTCCTCCCCTGTCTTCCCCCTCTTCCCACCATCCTCCCCCTCTTCCCCCATC